AGTCAGGGCCATCTCCCCATTCCCCAGGCCAGTGGGGTTGTGGGCACCTCTCACTGCACAGTGTCTGGAGGACCTGGCCACAGAGCTGGACATGGTGATGCACACCCCTAAGCACGGCTACGCAGGCGCATGAGGCAGGAGGATCACGAGTTCAAGATCAGCCCGAGAGACTTAGCGAGACCCTGTCTCAAGGGGCTGGGGATATAACTCAGGGGTAGAGTGCTTGAGGCCCTGGGTTCCAGTCCCATCGCTGAAAAAACAGCAGGCAGCTGGGGGAGTGGGGTGCTCTGCAGGGCTGGGAGGGAAGGAGGGCCTCACTGAGGACTCTGCACACCAGGGGCTCTTGGGCCCGGCCTCCTCCCTTGGACACGTGGGCTACACCAGCACCTGCTGGCCCTTAGCATGGGCTGCCCTGGCCGCCCTCTTCCACAAGATGCCCTTTACTTGTGTTATGGGGCTGGAGGGAGGCCAGCCAGGGTGTGTGGGGTGGAATCTGCCTGGGCTCCTCTCCGTGCTTCGCCCTGACCCATGCTTGTGTTCCAGGCTGTGTGTCTTCTCCGCCAGGCCCTTGTCCCCCTGGAGGAGTGGCAGCACGGGGCGGTCAGCACTGACCCGCAGCACACACAGCCCCATTGGGCAGCGTGGGCCTGGGTTTCTCTCTGATGCACAGTTCTGGGCAGACTCAGACTACATTCCCAGCCGTGCTGGGACAGAGTGCAGAGGAAGGGCTCAGCGTGGCCCCAGGCAGCTACACAGAGGGTGGCATTCCTGGCCTGTGACTGCCTGGGTGGATGGTGGCCTGGCCCGGCACCCACAGGAGCCATCGGTCAAGGCATCTGTGCCCAGTGTGTCACTGGTGGCCTGGCTCTCCCGAGAGCTCAGTGAGAAGAGCTGATGGGAGGCTCCACTGGTCTGGGTCCGGGGCCAGGAAAGATGCAGCCCTGCAGAATCGGCAAGACCAGGGCCCGCCTCGGGCCACAGCTGACTGGGAAGAGAGACCTCTCAAAAGGTGACCCCAAGGTGGGCCAGGCCAGCAGGAAGCAGCCCGGGCTGTGCTGGCATGGAGGGGACACAGAGCAGCCTGCAGCACTGACAGGGGCCTCAGACTGCTGCCCACCTAGCTGCCTGGCCACTGTCCCAGAGGGGAACGGCCACAGGGCTGCACTGTCCATGATGGGTCAGTGTACCTGCCACAGACACCGGGGGACAGAGGGGCGCCTGAGCGTTGTGACTGCTGCATGGGGCTGGGCTCTCTACTGGCCTAGAATGGGCCAAGTCTGGAGGCTCCTGGCTTCCGGCTCACCCTGTCATCCATCTGGAATTCAGACGGAAGGACCTGGCCGTGGTGGGGGAGGGGCCCAGGCAGCTCCCAAGGGCCTCGCCAGGGGAGCCTGGAGGCCCTGTGCCCTGGTCAGCCCCCCGGGTGGCCAGGCGGGACCTCAAGAGGCCAGTGCCTCCTCCATGCAGACTGGCCACTGCTGCCCAGTCCTGTTGTCCTCCCTAGCCAGGACTACCTCACCACAGATCCTGTCACGAGGTGACCCACAGCCCAGGGTGTCCCCTCAACCTCCCTTTGATGGGGGCCAGTGTCAAATGCAACAGCTCAGCAGTGGTCTCTGCTGTCTGCTGGCTGCAGCCAAAACTTCCCAGAGAACTTTATTCTGGGAAGATGAGAGTTCAGGGGCCTTTGGGGTGTGATATTCCTCACGGTCCTGGGGAGACCTTGGGTGTGAGTCCCTGTGTCTGTGCCCTGGCGCATCCCACAGAGACTGGGCATGTCCTACCCACCCTGCTGCGGACCCACAAAAATGCGTCCTCGACACTGGGGGGTTGGGGTGGCCCCAGGCGGCCGCAGCCTGGATTCTGCCTGCCCTGGGGACAGAGGGTGCCTGGAAAAGCCCCATGGGGGACTGAGGATTTAGCTCAGTGGTTCTGCCACCTGCCTTATAAGTGCAAGGTCCCGAGTTCGATCTCTGGTACCAAAAAAAAAAGAGCCCCATGGGGCTCCACAGTCGGCCTGCGAGACATGGCGTCCACCCCAGTGCCAGGGCAGAGGTGATCGGAAGACAGATCCTAGCCAAGCCAGAGCGGCCTGGAGACAGACCCGCCTGCTGGCCAGGAACTCATGGGCGTGGGCGACTGGAGGGCGATCACCCTCAGCCGAGGACACCTTTGCTTTCCCGCTCACTCGCCCGCTCATCCCCCAGGCGCCAGGCCCTCTGCTGTCTGGTCTGTGGTGCCCACAGCCATGGCCTGCCTTTGTTCTGGGCTGAGGTGGCTGGGTGGGGGTTTGGGACAGGGGCCTGTGCCCTGGGGCCTGCCCTGCACCCTCTCTCTTGAGCATGTGAGCGCCCAGTCCAGCCAGTCCCTGCCAGGCTGCTCTGCTGACCAAGGTGTTCCTGGGAGCCAAGGCCTCTCCCGCCCCAGGACATCTACCGTCCAGCCCTGCCTCAAACCCGCACAGCGACGCCTAGCTTTACCAAGCACGGGGGCCTGGCTCAGTGCCTCATAAAAGGATTCTCGGTGGACTTCTATGAAAAGAAATTCCCCGCTGGTCATGGTGATGCCTGCCTGTAATCCGAGCACTCGGAAGGGTGAGGCAGGAGGATCCCAAGTTTGAGCCCAGCCTGAGCAACTAGAGACTTAGCAAGACCCTGCCTCAGAACAGAAAAAGGGCTGGGATGTTGCTCAGTCCAAAGGCCCTGTGTTCAATCCCCAGGTACTGGGAAGAGAAAGAAAAGAATTCCTTTCCCCAAGTGGACCCATAATACAATAAATTCTGGGTGGAAGCCGAGGACGGGAAGCCTCGCAGCTCAGCTCACAGATGAACATTCATGGCACAAGCACTTTGGAAGCTGAGACAGTTCCTACTAAAAACAAGCACTCGCTCACCCAGCATCTCTCTGCTGGGGTTTACCTGGGGAAACAAAGGCAGACACACCAGTGCTCTAGGAGCCTCATTTGATTTTTATAAAATTGCGATGAGGGCCAGGGATTTAGCTCAGTGGTTCCAGTGCCTGCCTCGAAAGCACAAGGTCCTGAGTTTGATTCCCAGTACCAAAAAAAAAATTGCGATGAAATTCTTAACACTGTTAACTCTTGGAAGTGAAACATTCAGTGCCTTTGGCGATTACACGCCGGACCTGAGCCCCCCTAACCTGGGGGGTGATTGCAGCAGTGCTGCTTACACGCCTGCTCGCCTTTGGGGTGTGCACCCGGGGGACTGTGGATCACAGGCGTCCGTGTCTACTTGATGGAAATCGGTCTGCTCTGGCATCTTCACCATTAACATGAATCCCTGTGTCCCCATGCACACAGAAGGAGCTGAGGAACCAGCACGCTCGGGGGCAGAGCTGGGCCCCCACCTGCCTGGGGTGTGGGGGTGGGCTGTGCCTGATCCGCCTGCTTACCTGAGGGCTCCCTCCCAACCTTGGCACACTGGGCGCTCCTGCGGCAGAGGGAGGGACAGCCAGACCACAGACCACTGCTGGGGCGGGGGAAAGCAGGGTGCTCATCTGGGGTCAGGCCTCCCAAACCTGAACCCTGGCAGTGACCGTTCTGAACACCTGTGTGCAGAGGCCTGTTCTCCATGTGAGTAGCGCCAGAAACCCAGAGACCTTTGTGAGGTAAAGCCCGGAGACTCCCCTGTGGAAGGCATGTGACACAAGCACGACCTCAAAGTTCAGTGAAAGGAGCCAGCTTTGATGGTGAATGCCGGCAAGCCTGGTACTCTGGGAGGCTGAGGGGGGAGGATCACAAGTTGGAGCAAAGCCTGGGCAACTTAGCAAAAGCCTGTCTCAAATTTATTCATTGGTTTTTTGAGACAAGGTCTTGCTATGCGTTCAGGTGGCCTTGTACTCACTTTGTACCCCAGGCTAGCCTGGAACTTGTGGTGATCCTGCCTCAGCCTCCTGAGTGTTGGGATCATAGGTGTGCGCCACCATGCTGTGCATTGTTTTTTGAGACAAGGTCTCACTTTGTAGCCCAGGCTGGCTTTGAACTCGAGATCCTTCTGCCTCAGCCTCCCAAGTGCTGGAATCACAGGCGTGCATACTACCATGCCCACCCTGCAACACATTTTAATTTTTTCATCCTCTTTCCTTTCTGCTCCTCCCCCCTCCACCCATCCCTTGACTTCATTCCTCTTTGTTTTTTGGTACTAGGAATCGAACTCAGGACCTTACACTTGTGTGGCAGGCGCTGTGCCACTGAGCTAAATCCCTGGCCCCTCATTCCTCTTTTGGGGGTACATTTGTAATACGTAACACTGGGATTCCTTGAGTGTAAGCTGGTACATGTGTGTGACCCACCCAGCTGTCTCGAACCACAGAGGGCCGCCCAGCTAGGGTCAGCAGTGAGGAACTGGAAACCTCGAGATTGTTACCAGCAGGAGGGACACAGCTGCCACCGGAGTCGTCCTGCTTGCCCCTGAAAAATGGCCCCAGCGCCTCCTGCTGTTGTGCACCACTCCCTCACAGACAACACCCTTTACACCATGTTTGGCCTACAGACTTTTTAAAATTCTGAGGCACGTATTTGTATTCGTCTGTGTTTGGTGGGAAGTGACGTTTAAAACTTGTGGGCCCTTGTTTGTTCTGAGCAGACTCCTTCGACACAAACTCCCCATGTGGCCCCCTGCTCCACCTGCTGGGATTTCAGAGCAGGGAGGACGTGCATGAGGACAGTCCTAGGACTTGTCAAGGGACCCAACAAGGACTCCGAGCAAAGCTCATATGATTTTATTTATCTAAAACATATACAAAGGAACAGGAAGAATTCAATACTAAAACTGCATAAAAAGCCAACATTGTTTTTGAAAGCAGGTTTCCTCCCACAGCACAGCAGAAACCACACCATCAAATATTAGAACACATCCCGGTCACCCTCAAAAGGTCCTTTGCCCCAGCCAGGACGGACCAGAGCACAGTGCTGGCTGTTCCCACGTCACACACCACACAGCCTTCCACCTCCGCAAGGCCAGGTCAGTGTGACGCTCTGAACTACGGCAGTCACCTGGTATGAACACAGGTTAACCCCCACCCCCGGCCCCAGCAGGTCCAATTCCCGGTCCCAGGCTGCTCCACACTCCTCCAGCTGAAGCTCGCCAGCCCTGCCGCCTGCTCCCCCGGCTGCTGAGGAGGGACAGTGGCCGGCCCGGCCCAGTCCCTGGTCTCCTGGAATGGCCAGGGCAGTGGTGACTGACTGCCTGGGGCTCAGCCCCTCGGTTCTCCAGCTCGGGGTGGAAGGGCTGGAAGCAGGACAGCTCCCCCAGAGCCAGGACTCCCGTGACAGCCAGGCTCTCTCCAGGCCCCCTGGGAACACGGCTCCCAGTCTCCAGGGGTCCCGGGTCCTGCCCCGAGGTGGGGAACCATGAAGCAGAGGCTGAGTGTCCCTCATTCACACTACAGGCTGAGTAGGACACGATGGTGAATCCCTTCTGCTGCAGGATCGTGCGTGCAGGCAACAGCTGCTCACTGTGTTGTGTTTTCTCCAGGATACTCAGCTGGCAACGAAGCAGGTCATACGGTGGCTCAGCTGATTCCTGGAGCTTTAGCATCCATACCTCAGCGGGCTCCAGCAGCACTCTCCAGCGCTGGCCCAGGCTCCTCAGGGCCTGAGTTGGAGTCATCTTCCGCAGGTAGATGGTGGTGTCTTGGTAGCCCACCACGCAGAAGACCTGCAGATCCAGCAACCAGGCCTTGGCCTCCGCAGGCTCCACTGGCCACATGGTGCCCAGCTCCAGCACCATGGGCTCCACCGGGGACAGAGTCACTCTGGGGAACACCGGCTTTGGGGAAGGGGGGCTCGGCCAGTGGTTGCAGGCAGGAAGCCCATTAAACCTCCAGGGAAGAGCCTGGGTCCAGTCAGCATGCTCGGGGCCCGGGCCTAGGGGCACTGCACTTTGTGGCTCCAGCTCAATGGGCACCATGGAGTCATCCAGGTATTCTTCCTCTATCTCCACTGAGGTTGGCACCAGGGCCCAGGGCTCCCAGCCAGGTTCTGGCCCCAGGTTCTCTGCCTGCTCGTGCTCTGCCTCATCCAGCTCCATGGGGTCCCACTCTTCATCTTCCCAGTCCTCGGACTCCAGCATGTCTTTGAGGTCCATGAAGGCAATCTTGAAGCAGGTGAAGCAGACCTCCAGCTGGCTTCCATGCTTCAGCTCGTACAGCCAGGAAGCGTAGAGGTAGGCCATGCCCTCTCTGCTCTTGCGCACGACCACCGGGGGGCACATGGCCACACTGCTGCCTCTAGGGGTGACGGGCAAGGGGGCGCTTGCTGCCCACGTGGGAGTCCAGGCCCACAGGTGCTGCGGCCAGCGAGGTGCCGGGCGGGGGAGGGGTGGAAGAGGGCAGGGGCGGGCAGGTGTTTCTTGTTCGGGGACCTGGAGGTAGAACCTGCGGAGGTCGGGAGGCCTGAGCTTCTGGAAACTTCTCCAGCTGAGCGCTGCTCCAGTCTCTGGGAAGCCAAAGGAAGTAGGGTTAGGCGCCCCCTGGCGGGCGGGCTGCTGGGGCTCCTGGGTGGAGGGGATCGGGGTTCAGGGTCCTTGGCTGGGCCTCACTCGGCTTGAGCCACGCGGATCAGGGTCGCTTGGCGAACCCCAACCTCGCCCAGCACCCTGACGCCCCCAGAGCCCGACACCCGGCGGTCCGGCTTGCCGAACTCGGGACCGGTCCCCTTGGGCCCTGGCCCCAGGCCGCCGACCGCTCCTAGCGCCTCTCACCTTTAAAGCCTCGAGCCTCGAGCCTCCGAGTCCCGGAGCCGGCGAAGTGGACCCGCCCACCTCGGCTTTTAAAGGACTCCCAGGGAGCCTTGGGAGTATTTGCATATCTCCCATGCTCCCTGGCTCCGGGAAGAGGAAGTGGTGAGCCAGGCTGGTGTGGCGCCCCCCAGAGGCCGGTCTGCTCCTCCGCCCTGCGCCGCCGGCTGCTTCCTGGACCTGCCCGCGGGCCTCTCGGAACACAGCAACCCAGATCCCCGATTTCGCTGGCATTTTGAAATTGCGGGCCTTCTTCCTATCTTTCCCACAAAGTTATTTTTAATTTTTAATTTTTAATTTTGCTGTTATCCGTTAACAACATTTGAAACACATTTTGCCCTTTGCGGTTCATCTTTTCACCCTTAAAGACTTTCAGATGAACACTTTTTTTAGTAGACTTTATTTTGGAGTCGTTGGTGGTTCATAGCAAGGGTGAGGCGAAAGCGCAGAGCTCCGTGTGCCTCGCCCCCTGCACACTGGCCCAGTACGGACACTGCCATGGCGTAGTTTGTGTATTATAATCGGAGCGGATAACTGCTGCCCAGGCGCTCTGCCCCCTATGGTGCTGGCCAGCTGTGGGTCTGGACGCCCATGGGGTGGTGTGGACTCTCCCTGCTGCACCACACTGAGCAGTTTCACTGGCCGAAGACCTTGCACTTCACCTGCACATCCCCCCCCCCCCGCCCCAGCCCTGGCCACCCCTGGCTACCCCTGGCTCAGCTTGATTTTTTTTTTCCTCCCCCAGTTTTTTTGAGACAGGGCCTAGCTCTGTAGTTTAGGCTGGATTTGAGTTCACTATGTAACCCAGGCTGGCCTTGGGCAATCCTCCTGCCTTAGCCTCCTGAGTGCTGGGGTTCCAGACATGAGCCACCACGGCCAGTTTAGTTTCTTTTAGTACAGTACAATCTTTTGTCAAATGGAGTACCACCTTTATCCATTCACTTGCTGGACAACGTGGCTGTCGCTTCTAGGTTTTGGTAATTACGACCGAAGCTGCTATAAACACCTCTGGTCAGGCTTTGTGGATGTAGGTTTTCATCTTATCGGGGTAAGCACCAAGGAATGCTACTGGTTAGGGAGTGTTTAGTTTTGTAAGAAGCTGCCAAGCCCTCCTTTAAGGTGGCTGCGCAGGTTTGCATTCCCACCAGCAATGTGGGAGATTCGTGTTCCACATCCTTGCCGACATTTGGTTTTATCCTTGCTGACATTTGGTTTTGTCAGCGTTTCAGATTGACCGTTCTAGGGGTTTCGGTGGTATCTATCTAGTTGTTTTAATTTGCAACCCCTTAATGACACCTGATGCTGTATTAGTCATTGGGGCACCTATTACAGAAGAAGCATAGACAGAAATCTGTTTCTCACAGTTCTAGGGGCCAGGCCAAGGCTTGGGCCAGCTCTAGTCAGGGCTGCTTCCAGACTTTTCCAGTCTTTTCACTGTAACCTCGTGGCTGAAGGGCAAGAGATCGCTGGCTCTTGGGGTGGGAGTGTACCCTGTTCCCTATACTGCAGAAAAAGAAAAAAGAAAGAAGGAACTATGAAGGCACTAATCCCATTCTTGAAGGCCTCACCCTCCTGGCTTACTCACCTTCCAAAGGCCCCAGATCCTCACACCATCAATTTAGGGGAGGACCAGGGATGTAGCTCAGTGGTGCTGCTGCCTGCCTTACAAGCGCAAGGTCCCGTGTTCGATCCCCAGTACCAAGAAAAAAAAAAAAAATTTAGGGGTCAGGATTTCAACATTCTGACTCGGGAGGGGCAGTACAGAGACGGTCCACCCACAGAAGTTAGTGTCTTCTGTGTGCTTGTTTGTGTGTTACTCCTGCGTATATTTGGTGAGGTGTTTGTTCAGGTCTTTTGCTTATTTTTAAATTGGGTTGTTTTCTTTTCTTTTTTTTTTTTTTTTGGTACCAGGGATCGAACTCAGGTCCTTGCACTTGTGCAGCAGTTGGGTTGTTTTCTTACAGTTGAGTTTTAAGAGTTGATTGTATTTTTTGAATAAAGTCCCATATATCTTTTATATATATTTCCTCCCAAACTGTGGCTTGTTTTTTCATTCTCTTAATAGTGTTTTTTGTTTGTTTATTTTGGTACCGGGGATCGAACTCGGGACTTTGTGCTTGCACAGCAAGCAACGGAACCATTGAGCTAAATCCCCGGCCCTCTTAATAGTGTTTTTAACAGAGCCTAGATTTTTAAAAAATTTGTTTTGGCATTTGTTGAACCCAGACCCTTTGCACTGAACTGCATCCTTAGTCCTTATTAATTTTTTTTTTTCCGAACCAGGGTCTTTCTAAGTTGCTCAGGCTGGGCTGAAACTTACGTTCCTCCTGGCTCGGCCTCTAAGAGTACTGAGATTACAGATACATGCCACCAGACCTGGCTGGATTTTTATTTTTTATTTTTTGTACCGGAGATTGAATTTGGGACCTTTCCGTTGCAAGGCAGGTGGTGGCACCACTGAGCTAAATCTCTGGCTTTTAATGTTAAAGAAGTCCAGTTTACCAGTTATTTCTTTCATGGATCATGGCTTTGGAGTTATATCTCAGAAGGCATTGCCATACCTACAGTCATCTAGATTTTCTCCTGTTTTCTTCTACCACTTTTGTTTTTGTTTTTTTGGTACCAGGAATCAAACTTGGGTCCTTGCACTTGTGCAGCAGGCGGGGAAACCACTGAGCTAAATCCCCAGCCCTTCTTCTACCACTTTTATAGTTTTGTGTTTTACATTTAGGTTCGTGATATGTTTTTTGTTGGGTTTTGTGAAGGGACTATGTCTAGCTTCAATTTTTAAAAAAAATATGGCAATTTGGTTGTTCCAGCACCTGTTTTTTTCTTTTGTTTTGTTTTTACCTGTTGTTGAAAAAAATGTCTTTTGTCCACTGTGTTTCCTTTGCTCCCGTGTCAATGATCAGTGGTATTTACATGGGTCCCAGGCACTTTTTAAACATTTGTTTAGTCTTTTAGGTATGATCAAATGTGTCAACCTTAATATAAATATATATATATTTTTTTCTTTTAAAATGATGTCCTAGGCTGAGAGTGTGGCTCAGTGATAAAGTACTTGCCTAGCATGTGCAAGATCCTGGGTTTGATCCCCAGCACTGCTAAAATGATGTCCTAGTACCCAAAGGCTATAATATTAGTTTTCTATATATTCTACTCATTTGTAAATATTTTCATTTGCTTCTTAGTCTAGTTGGTTACTAAAACAAAACACCGTAATTGGATGGCTTAAACAACTTTCTCATGGTCTGGAGGCAGGCAGCTCAGGGTCAGGGTGCCCGTGGGGGCAGGTTCCTTGGCGTGGCTGCCTCCTGCAGTGCTGCCTCCTGGTTGCCGGAGGTCGAGTAGCTGAGTGCTGCCCTGGGGACAGAATGTGGATCAGACCAGAGCCCGGGCCTCCAGCGACCCCTCCCCGGTACTGTCTTCTTGGGAGTTAGAGTCTGGAGAAACGCAGTTCAGTCTGTAGACTTCTCTTTGCACTTAAAGTGTAAAAGGAAGTTGCTTTTGTTAATATAATAGAAGAATGTAGACAGATGGCTTTTGTGGTAACTTGCTGAGTGAGTCAGGCAATTCAGCCGCTTTCCAATCCCTGGTTCAGCTGCACCCGGGCATCCCCACAGACGTCTGAGAGCTGCCCTGAGCAAGCAAGTTTGCTTCTGGGCTGGCAGTCGGCAGCTGCAGCAGGCCCCGCCAGCCACTGGCCCATGACAGCAAAGGTCCTTGGACCCCTGCTTCCCAGATGTGTGCTACACCTTAAAACTTTCTTGGCTGCTTCAAGAAGTCAAGATGCCCTTTGTCACCTCCTATGACAGATGCGACCACAGTGACCCCAGCCAGTCACAGCCTCCCTTTGGCTGGGGTGGACACTGTCATTTGCTCTAATTAATAGAAGTGGCTGAGGTGACGGGCATCACCCTTGACTGTTATTTATAGACACTTGCGTTGTTGCACGTATTATAGGACTTTACATACCTTATTATGTATTTTACACACACATGAAGAGTTTTTTGTTGTTGTTGTACTGGGGATCAAACCCAGGACATTCATACTGAGCTACATTCCCAGCCTTTTTTAAAATTTTGAAACAGTGTCTTGATAAATTGCCCAGGATGGACTTGAATTTGCAATCCTCCTGCTTCAGCCTCCCAGAGTACTGGAATTACAGTCATGCCTGGCTTATGTGTCATTCTTACATTGAGTTTTTCCTTTGTTATATTTTTCATTGTTTTTATTCTTTGAAATGATAGTTTTTTGGTTTTGTGCTCTTACAGGGCTGTGGATCAAATCCTATGCCTCATCCATGATCGACAAGAGCTACATACCTAATACTGATAGGTTATTTAAAAGTACTTTTCTCTCCAGGCAGAATTTGTTTCTTTTAAATTGCTTTTTCTACTAATCCTTCTTGACTTACAATGGGGTCATGTAAACCCATAAGCTCATGGTAAATTAGCAACATCCTGAGGTGGGCATTGTGGCGCACACCTGTGATCCTAGCATGGAGGCAGGAGGCTGAAGCAGGAAGATTCCAATGAGATCAAGGCCAGCCTGAACTATATATTGAGACCCTATCTCAAAAAGCAAAACAGCAGTGGGCTGGGGATTTAGCTCAGTGGTTCTCCTGCCTGCCTCAGAGGTGCAAGGTCCCGAGTTCAATCCCCGGTACCAAAAAAAAAAAAAAAAGAAGAAGCAAAACAGCAACAATAACAGCAAACAAAAAACAAAACAAAACAATGTCCTAAGTGAAAAATTTAATAAATCTTACCTACCAAAATCATAGCTTAGCAACACAGTACTTAGCAACACTACAGTACTTATGATCACACGACACCTACAGCTTGCTGCCAATGCCCAGCATCAAAAGAGAATATTATCCTCATGCTGCATGTTGCTGGCCTAGGAAATGATCAAAATTCAAAGTTTGGCTTCCACTCAATTGGCATTGCTTTCACAGCATCGTAAGGTCAAAAATCCTAAGTTGAGCTATCACGGCTGGGCCCGAGGGTCCCCGAGGCTGAAATGAGGAACTTAATCCACCCGTTTAAAATAAGTGCCCATCTTTTGGCCTACGACTCCCAGCAACCTATGCGTTCCCTGGTTTCCCTCCGCTCACAGCGCTGTTTTTTCTGCGCCTGCGCACAGTGGTGAGTGGCGGTGGGACGGCTTGCATAGTTATTGCTATTGCGGGTTCGGAGTCTCCGCGCTGAATGCCTCAAAGGCTCAGTTGCAGCGTGCTGATTTCCTGGTTTTGTTGGATTGCTATAGACTGTTAAAGAGAAAAAAATAAAATAAAATAAGTACGCAGGTTTGCTGACTCCCGTCTCAGAAATAGGATTTTCAGGATGGGTCAGTAAAAAGAGGAATGAGAAAGATTGGAATTTAGAGGACACACTCAAGAGTGGAGTGAGGGAGGTCAAGGAAACGAGGCACCCACATGTACACTTTTCTAGATCTATGCATCTTTATTCACACATGCACCCCCACCCCAGAAGCAGCCCAGCTGTGAGCTGTCTCTGGAGCAGCCTTGGGCTGGAGCTGCTGCAGCTGAGGTGTGGATGCACCTCTGCCCACAGCCGGCAGAGGCTGTGGCTTGGGTCCACTGCCACAAGGAGGAGCATTCTGCCCAGTGTGGGTGTGGCTGGCAGACAGCTGCTGCAGGACTCCTGGGGCCCTAGGTTCCCGGTGAGAGGGAGGATGGATGGCCGTGTGGATGGTGCCCTGCACCCGGCAGTCCTCCTTTGGATCACCTGCTCTCCGTGGTGGGTGGGCCCCTGTTGGGAAAGGACAGGGGCCGCATCGCGCACCCCAGCATTTTCAGTCCCAAAGGCCCAGCCAGGCCAACGCCCTCTGACCCTGTGAACCAATGGAAGTGGGGATACCCGAGAGGAGATGGGCACCCACACAGTGGACTCCCTTCGAGGGCTCCAAGGGTCTCAGGTGCCCACTAAGATGTGGCTGGAAGGACAGGCCCTGTGGGGCCCCAGCCTTGCCCCACGACACCCTTCTCTCCCCGGGCTGTCTGTCCAGACTTGGGGTCATCCATGTGGGTACCTGGCCAGCCCAGGTCAGGGCCACCCCACGTCTAGGGACCCCTGTCCCACTCATGGGGACAGGGCCTGGCATTACTCCCCTCAGACCTGGAGGGATTGGCCAACTTTCACACACCAGTGACCGCTGGAGGACTGGCCCCAGGTTGCAGCAGGTGTGTCCAGCGGTCAGGGTCTCCCTGCCGACCTCGAGCCTGGGCCTGCACCAGGAGAAAGCAGTTGGCAGCACCAGGAGGAGATCCAAAGGTTCCAAACTGCAGAAGTGTGGGAGCAGCAGCCAGCAGTGGTTGGGGTGGGGGTGTCCCACACTGTGTGGTGGTGTGGGGCAGGGCAGGGTGGAAGCCGGCCTCAGAGTGTCTGCAGCTCCTGCGGGGGGGGGGGGGGGGACAGAGACACCCCAGTGGGGCATCAGGCATCTCCCCTGCCTCGGGTTTGCTGCTCAAGGCGCTGGAGGGCAGCATCCTGGCCCCTGAGCTGGCGTGGCTGGACCCTGCTGGGCAGAGCCAGCCTGGAGGCCTGGGCAGAGGTGTCCCTGGGGGAGGTCTGGGCCCCAGCTCTGTCCAAAAAGGCTGCCTAAGGCCTCACCTGAGGTTCACTCCCTGGCCAGAAGTGTGGGAGTGGGGGTCCCTGCACCCAGAGGATGGGGAGGGAGGTGGGGCTGTTGCACCCTGGCAGGAAAGGCCTCCATGGTGTGCCACCAGGCCCCAAGTGTGCCCAGTCCACAGGACGCAGTGCAGCGGGGTCCCAAGAGTCACTTCCCAAAATAGGCTCCCAGGGAGGAGCAGCGAAGCTCCTGCCGGAGCCTGTAACTGAGTAGGTACCCTCGCCAGCCTTCATCGCTGCTCAGATTGCAGTTGTTCTGGGGATTTAATACAGTGCCAGTGCAGCCACGCTGGGCCCAAGAAGCCCAGGAAAATGGCTGTGAGCATGGCATTCGTCCTGGTGGGCCGGACCACCCGGGGCCAGGGCCCGCGCTGGCCCGGGGCTATGGGTTGCTTGCTCCATCACTGCATCCTGGGCTTCAGCCAGGCCCTGAGTGAGAGTTGCAGTCATGGCCACAGGCAGGCTGCCCTGGAGGCGTTGCGCTCAGATCTGGTCCCAGCAGTAGCCCCCTCACCGCCTGGCCCTGGCTAAGCCCTCGCTCCTGACCTTGGCCCAGTCCCAAGCTGGTGCTCACTGGGGTTCCAGAGTGGGCCAAGTGCGGTGCCTATGCCCAGGCCCGACCCACACAGGAGCCCGGCCAGCCATGGTCAGGCTGCTGCCAGTCACAGTGGTGTTTTCTTTTGGTTCTTAGGGCGCCTGCTGTCGCATTTCAGTCCGTCAGTTCACTAGAATGTTTCGTGCAGAAGAGTTTCCAGTGCCCTCCTCTGGGCTCGCCATGTTTCTTTTTTCCACATTAAGCAGTTTGTGTTTTCAGTCATTCAGGGTATGAGCCGTGGTGAAAGTTCCTTGTTATTTTTTTGCTTGCAAGAGAAATTTTAGCAAAATGACATTACCCGGGGAAATAAAAAGGTGAAGTTTAATTAGAGCTTTTTTGTTTGTTTGTTTGGTATGGGAGATCGAACTCGGGACCTTGCACTTGCAAAGCAGGTGGCAGAGCTTTTTTTTTTTTTAATAAAGGAGAATCCAGAATTTAGAAATAATTTTCATTACCCGATATAAGGTGTGCTACACAGTCACAGTTATTAAAACAGCACTGAACTCCGATGAGGGTGACAGATTCCCAGATGGGGCTCTGAGGAGGTAGACACAGCTGTGGTCCGGAGTGGACCGAGAGCCTCGATTTGCTGCCCAGCTGGGCACCCAGTCCCTAGGTGACATCTGTCCTTACCCAGGCTGACGGAGAAGCTGGCGGAGATTCCGGGATCCCAGTCCCAAGGCCCACTGGGCTCAGCCTACAGACTGACCCAGGCCGGGGATGCCCCTGGGGCCCAGGAAGCCAACCCTGCAGTGACCAGGGCTCTTCCCAGCACCTGGCCCTTCATGGGAGGGGGTGGGCTGTCACTGCCCCTGAGGCTTATGGGCTGGAGCCAGGGGACCTGGAGGATCAGCCCTCTGGTCCTCCTTGGGGCTCAGCGGCACTGACGGTGGCCTGGTGACTGGCACCCACGAGTGGGAACCCGGGGAGGGGAGCAATGGCCCTAAACTGGAGCCCTTTGGCCACCGTCAGTGCCCAGCTTCACCGGGTGCCCTGACCCAGGTCCATGGCCGGCCTCTTGTCACTGGGCGGAAAAGCACGTGAGGCCTGGTCCTCCAGCTCTAAGAAGCAGTACTTGGGGCATCCTCCCCTAGCATGATGGTCACCCCCAGGACACCTGGGGAGTTTCTGATCTTTTGTGCCAGATGGCATAGGAGGGCTGATGGGGTGGGTGGTAACAAGAATTCACCCATAAACAAGGAACATAGAAAAGACAAGTTTATTAGAGCAGGCTGTGGTGCCAAGAGAAACAGCAGAAGAGGAACTGCAGTTGGGTGAGAGACTGGGGTTTTTAGAAGGGCTGGAGGATGTGGGAAAAGGGTCTAGATAGCAAACGTGATTATCTAAAGAATGCCTGGGTCATTTAGCACCTTATAGATCTTCCAGGGAACATCTGTGTTATGTTTAAAACTGTATGCTTGCTGTTACAACTTTGGCAAGACCATTTCCCCTGGCTTACAGAAGCCTATTAGCTTCAGAGGAGAAGGGACACAGAGGTCTGAATGGGCCTGCCACCCTTTCATGTTTTAACCCTTTTGTTGCCAATGGGCAGCGAGTACATTTGGCGTGGGAATCTAAAATAAATGTTAAATGTGTTCACTGCTGTGGGGCTTGTAAGCAGGTGGGTAGGGGTCTCTCGCTGCCTGGGCCATCACCCCCACACCAAAGAGGAATGGGAGGGAACTTCCCCTCCGAGCGGAGATCAGACACTGCAAACCTGAAGAAATATCCCACAGAGCAGAGCACGCTGCAGTGTGCAGGGTGGGCACGGGAGCAGAAGGGCCAGCGGCCCCACACCAGCTGCTGCTGTGCTGGAGAGGAAGACACAAAGTGCAAAAGCGGTCAGGAACCGAATCATCGCTCACAGAAGTGATTTGTACTAGAAAACAAAAAAGAATGTGTAGTGATGGGTACTGGTAAATGTGCACTGCACTGTGCAAACAGTGACTGGCTATGTTTCTAGATACCTGCAGCAAAAAGAATAGAAGTTCTGTTTTAAAAGATGACACTTACAATTTGCGTCTGAAAATATCAAGTTCTGAAGCCAGGTGTGGTGATGTTCACCTGTAATCCTAGCACTCGGGAGGCTGAGGCAGGAGAATCTCTGCAAGTTCCAGGCCAGCCTGGGCTACACAGTGAGTTCAAGGCCAGTGTGAATGACATAGCAAGACCCTGCCTCAAAAAACAAACAAAAAAAACAAGTGAAAAGCTGATGTGGAATTAATGTAGACAGCTAGGTTAATTAGCAATTATTATAAGGCAGTTGGGCAGGGCTGGGCCCTCAGCATAGAAAATGATTGAGGCACACTCACTGAAGGTGAATATGAAAAAGAGAGAAACTACTGCACCCACTTCCCCTAGGATGAATAGCAGTGATTGATATCTAAATAGCCATCAGTCACCTTAATTGGGAACCAAAACATCCCTAGCTAGCCCATCCCTTCCTGGAAATCCGTGTACGCTTGCTATGTGACTTGCTTCCCCATTCGATCCCCATTTAATCAGTATTACCTGGGCGACTGAACTTGCAGTTTTATTGTTTGATCACGGTTTTGTCCCACCTCGTGCCCAGCCATGCTTTTCCATTGGATCTTACAGTTTTGTCCCACTTCGTACCTGCCTCACCTCGTGGCTTTGCTCCATAAGACACGTTTGAGAAGTGGAGTGGTGGGGGCAGCCCACTTCCTGGGTGTCCCCCCGGTCCCTCTTAGGCAGGAGCTGTCTTTCCCTCCATAAATATCCCTAACTCTTAACCTCTGTTCCTGGAATTCATTCTTTGATTTTAGAGAACACACACTTGTGTTTCGGATATCTAGCAGGTTAGGAGTTATAATATTTCGCTTGTTTGGATTATTTTTGCTTATCTGGAGTACTTGCTGCCCTATATTTCTAAAATCAAAACTGCCTTTACCTGTAAGAAGCAAAGTGTCTGTCTAGGGGGTGGTGGTGCACGCCTGTAATCCCAGCATTCGGGAGCCCGTGGCAGGAGGGTCCATCCAAGGCAATCTGAGGCCCAGAGTGAGACGCTGTCTGAAAACAAAACAGATGAATAGCAAAAGGTCTGCCGGACTTTCCCACCGACCCCTAAAGGGAGGCCCTAGGACAGAGCGGCAGAAGTCCCTCCCCGCTCCCTCCCGCCCGGGCTGAGAAGCAGACTCTCCGGGGCCAGCAAAGAGGAGACGACCGTGGCCAGGGGGCTGAGGGCAGCAGTGCTGGAGGAGGGCAGAGCTCTGGCCCTTTGCTCCCTGCGCCCCTGGTGCCCCCGCCCCCCTCCAGGTGGGACCAAGTAGACACCTCTTGCTGCCTGCAGTGAAGGCTGGGTCTGTCCTGGCCACCGAGGCAGAGGGTGTGGGTGAGAAGCTTGGCCTGGGGGCTTGACAGAGGGCCTGGAAAGACGTGGTGGGTAGGGCGATACTAAGGGGTAGGACACGGCCATCGTCAGGGGGCCCAAGGTCCCTTCATTTCCAAGAGAAGGACAGGCATTTCCCCCACCGCGGAGGCCCTGGGGCCCAGCTCATGACCTGGCGTCGGTGGGGCCCAGAGCCAGCCCCTGGACCCACCAACAGTCCAAAGCCCCATCCCTGCCTTGTCAGGATGAGTGAGCACTGATGCTGGAAAGGACAGAGGGAGAAGCCAGAGGCGTGAGCCAGCTGAGTGGATCCACCTGACGAGCCAGAAGGAGCACGAGACGGTGGACCCAGCCTTCAGAAGTCCCCAGCACCCGGGCACTGGGCACAAACCCTGGCTGGGACCTCAGGATGAGGTGGGGTGGCTCTGGGTCACCCTCCAGCCCTGGCCTTTGTCTTGCTCCCAGTTCCAGGAACACATCCGCCTCCTGGCCGCACCCCCAGATGGCCCTGGGTGCATCCTCTGGACGGGGGCACTGCCTCCTGGGCCAGGACCTTTCCCCCAGTCTGGGGATCTGACCCAAGTGTGACCTGTGCCCAGAGAAGCCGCCCCACCCACCCAGCCTTGGAGACCTGCACGGGCTGCTTCTGTGCAGGCGACCCAGTCGAAGTCACATCCTAATAAAAACAGGATTGTGTGTTTGGATAATCAGGTGACTCACCAAGGAGGTGACTCACCAAACAGAACTTCTTGAAAACTGTTGTAATAATCAAGACCAGGAAAGGATGACTGAATAGTTTTTTTTTTGAGGCAGGGTCCTGCTGTGTAGTTCAGGCTGGCCTATAACCTGTGGCAATCCTCCTGCCTCAGCCTCCCAAGTGCTGGGATTACAGGTATGCACCACCACGCCTGGCCGATGACTGAGTATTCTAACTTGCATTCTACATCCTCCATAAGTATTTGTATTATCGCTCCTACATTCATTACAAAGCAAAGTTCAGTCCTCAATGCCAGTCTCAATCCTGGTACAAAGCAAAACATTTCCAGAGTAGAAGATATTGGTTTTTTATTGGTTTTTCCTTCTCATACAATGAAAGAGACAAACATTTTCAAATCTTTCTTGCATAAATTTACTGCAGAAAGCTCTTCAGAGACATTGCCTCTGCAGAAGACCTCAGCTTCCACAGGGAAAGGTATGTGGTGGTGGCCAAGGGGTGTGACACCACGGGTCTGGAGAGCAGATGTGTTCTGAGAAGCTGCCTGTTCCTTGGTTTTCTGTGTGATGGATTCTACTTTTTTACTGACGTGCTTCATAAAATCAGAGTTATGCTTCCAGAAGAAATAAACAGACAGGAAGACCAGAGCTCACAATAATTCTCTGACCAGCTGATGCTAATGAGACTCCAAGTAAGCCATAAAAATAAATAAGGTTCACAAGTTGATTGTGAAATAATGTATAGGGCCACGTGGCTGCCTCCCACCCCCTGGAACCACTGAGGTCGCACATGGGTGGGCCCAGGGCCACGTCTCGGGGTCCTATGGAGGCTCGCTCTTCTCCAGGGACATCAGGTGTGGAATGCCATGACGCAGCTGAAGTCATGGCGAGTGTCACGGAATTCCATTTTCATGTTGCGCGCCCGTCGTGTGTGAAATCTCTTCACTTCATTTGGACTTAGTGTCTGAACTTTGCAGAGTCCTGCAAGCCGGCCCGCCTTGGTTCCCCCTTGTGTTCTGATGCACTGGACTGGCCTCCGGCCGCTTTACGTCTGGCTGCCTCACTCTTCTCCAGTCACAGTCCCCTCATCCTTCCCTCCGGCAGCCGCAGCTCAGAAGTTTAACCTCGGGACACCCTTCACCCAACAAGGCCTCTGTCCTTCCTGTCTGAGTACAGCCAGCTCCGGAGCCTTTCTGCAGGGTAACTGTGAGGAAAGTTTTTCCTGGATATAAGGCGTCTTCTGTCTCACATACACCGCAGACCTGAGCCCCAGTAAGAGGCCACACTGCTCATGGCATTGGCCTTTGAGTTTCTTCTCAGCACTGCAGCCATCTGGAATTATGGTGTTGACCTGCTGGTGAGATCATTACTCGCCTCTCCCCCATTGAAATGCAGCCTCCACAGGCACTCGGCAGATGATTTGTCAAATGAATAGATGAAGCCAGGCGTGGTGGTGCACACCTGCAAGTCTAGCATGGAGGAAGCTGAGGCAGGAGGGTCTCTGTGAGTTTGAGGCCACCCTGGATTAGTTGGATGTATGGTTGGTGGCTGAGGGGTGACTGGGTAGACGAGCTGGTAGGGGGGTTAGTGGTTAGGCACATGGATGGATGGGTGAGTGTGTGGATGCATGGACAGATTGTGTGTGGAGGGCTGGGTGGGTGAGTGCTGGTGGGAATGGGCCAAGTGGGTTCCATACGCAAGGGTGCTGTCCTTGCAGCAGGGCTATGATATGGGTGGTGAAAAACACCTGGCCTCTCCATCCTGGTCTGCCTGTGTCTACCTGTGTTGGATTTGAGGCCAGAAGTCTTGTGACTTCACCAGAGTGATAACAGGTGATATGTTAAGTGACAATAATAGGTCAGGTAGTAAGAGCCGGGGCTGTGGGATTTCCAGGAAGGGCTGCCAGGAACACAGAGGACAACCGAGTAGATGGACACCACAGTCCCACCCAGGAGGAAGGCATGCGTGGGATGAGGAAGGGGGAAGACACCAGAAGTGCTGCAGGACGGAACGGGGAGCTACCACATCCTGAGGGCAGAACCGGCAAACCAGCAGACCCTGCAGATTCTGCATTCTTCATTCTCTCCTGGGCAGCTGCCTCTCATAGCAAACGTGTGATCGAGCCTTGTTGGCAGGACCAGCTGTGACTCGGGTCATTTATCGTTTTCTTGAAGGGTGTTACGCCCTTCAGAAGCACAAACGGACTGCTTCAACTACTTCTGGCCCAGAGCACAGTCTTAACATCTGATGTTGAAAGGAGATGTTTATCTTTGCCCAAGATTGTTCCGTGAAAAAGGAGAGAGCAAGCAGGAGGCAGTGACTGACTCTGAGTCTCTTATTTTACTGCAAGTTCTCTGTGGAGCCCTACCCCTGACACCCAGAGCTCACAGTTCACCGTATTAGTCAACTTCCCATTGGTGGGACAAATACCTAACATCTGAATGTAAAGGAAGAGAGACTTATTTGGCTTACAGTTTCCAGCGGGTTCAGTCCATGGTCTGTGGGCTCCAAGGCAGAAATAGCATGGTAGAAGGGCATGTGGAGCCGAACTGCTCAACCCGTGGCCAACAGGAAGCAGAGTGAGAAGGGAAGAGCTTGGGGAAAGAAGGCATCCTTCCAGGTCACACCCCCAGTGACCTCCTCCTCCAACCAGGCCCCACCTTCTACTAGTACACTCAGCCATGAACTCATCAATGGATAAGTCCGTTGGTGAGTGCAGCAGCCCCTGACCCAATCACCTTCCAAAAGCCCCACCTCTGAACACAAGAGACTTCTGGGGGACATTTTAGATCGAAACCATAACAAGGCCACTTTCTCTGTGGCTTCATGTGTCAAACATCAAAATAAATTGATGCATTCACATTCTGGGGTGGACTTGGACCCCAAAGGAAGTCGGTCAGTTTCCTACCCTTCCAGGAGTGGCTGCCACCCCTTGTCACTGGGTCGTGGTATCCCATGGAGTTGTAGCCACATGGCAGTGCCCTCCTCTCTGCTTCGGCCACAAGAGAGGGGCCAGTGTCCATCCAGCATGGATGCTGAACTGATCCTGTGGACACTGAGGCTGTCCCAGGCGTAGGCAGAAGGGGTGGGAGGGACAGAGAGGGAAAGAGCTCAGACCTGAAGGTGCTGGGAAGGGGGCACCTGGGAAGCCTCCTCTACCACCCAAGTGACCTTGGCCTGGACCTGAGAGAGGACCTGGTGTCCGCCGAGAGGAGGAAGCTGAGGGACACTACCTGGCCATGTCCCTGCCTTCAAAGCCCGTTGTGCAAAAGGAAGGCTGCCACCTGTGAGCCCCTTTTTGTTTGCACGTTTGTTTTGAGACAGGGTCTCGTTAGGCCGTTCAGGCTGGCCTTGAACTCACTGTGTAGCCCAGGCTGGCCTCGAACTCACACTGATCCTCCTGCTGTGAGTCACTTCGAGATCTTTCCATCAGGAGAACTCACATTCCCCGTTAAATGCGACTTTAAAAGTGTGCTCCTATGCAGTGAGCTTTGTTATGTATGGGAGCCAAAATTCATTCTGTGGAAACTCGCTCCAGCCGTGTCCCTCGGCTCTGCACAAGTGAGGCACCACAGAGACCTGGCCTCAGGGAGCATTTTCTGGACATGCTTTCTGTGATGCGGGCCTTGTTCCTCGGGCCAGCAGTGCCCCCACAGTGAGCCGCTAGCAGGGGACACCCCCTCTGGGGCAGGTGTTGTGCTCTGAGCAGCCTTGAGTGTCTGGGCCACATGAGGCTGGTGGGGAAGGCCCAAGGCCCGCGAGCCCCTGGCACCAGCACTCGCCCGGGGTCTGCTTTGGGACAGGGCTTGGAGGCCTGAGCAGATGCCCACGGTCCCCTCCTGCATCCCTGTGACCATCCATGGCACTGTCCTTGTCTTCAAATCACTCTCTGGCACTGCTTCTGGTGAACAAGTGACAGTATTTAGCCACATGTGCTACACACACAGTGTTTGGTGACACTCAGGCCCCGCCCCAAGGGTGCACTGCCTCCCCAACGCCCACTTTTACCATACCTGTCTTCACACACAACCGGTCACTCCTTAGACATTATTGCCAGTAGGACGGAACCACGGAGACACGTTACCCCGTCAAAGTCTCGGGGGTCCCCTTGGTAAGGTGGGCCAGGCATGAGGCCTCAGCCCAGAGAAGAGACTGAAGCCAGGGGAGCCCAGGGGTGCCCCATGCAGGCCGTAGTGGCCGTCTTTCCCCGGGCACTGCGGGTCCTGGTTACCTGGACTCTGCCTCTTGCTGCAGTGGCCTGTGAAGGGCTGGGGTGGCTGGCGGAGGCCTCAGGCCTGAAACTGTAGAGCATCCCCCTTCCCCGACAAGAACATGGGACTCTCATGGAGACAGGCCATGTAGGACTCAGCATCATCACCTCATGTCCCGCCCATGACTGCAACCACAGGGTCCTGAGGGCAGGCGCAGGAAGCCTCAGTCCCTAGGGGCTGCCCTACCTGAGGACAGAAGGTTCTAGAGCATCCTGAGGAGAGCAGATGGGCTTCCGGCTGGAGACTCCGGCAGGTTCCCTTCCCGCCTCCACCAGGCAGTTACGTCCAGATTGGTGGGGGCCAGGCTATAGGCCCTCAGTCTCAGGCCAGGGTGGACTTGCCTCAGGAGCAGAGAAATGTGCAGAAGATTGCAGACTTGCTGGGTGTGCAGGAAAGCTGTAATCACAGCACTCCTGGGCAAGATAGCACCTGCTGAGCGCGATACAAAATCCAGGCCTCCAGGTATGGGGAAGGACCTCAACTTGCTCCCTTTGAGATGCTAAACCTGTTCCCTATTTTACTACCCTAATCTTACTGCAGTTGCTATTTCCAGAAAAGTACACTATCCCTCCCCTGCACCTCTTACTGACTAAAAAAAGTGGGCCCACTGCGGCGTGCCGTCCACTAGAGGCAGATTCCTCCTGGTTCCCCTTGTGCCTTGAACATTGCCTCTGTCTCTTTCTTTTATTCCCCGTTGTCCTCCCGACAGGTACTCGGGGGTCTGATCAGCCCCAGCACTGCTTGTCCTGGCTGGGGTGGGACAGTTCTCTCAAGCGCAGTCCTTGAGGTGGCCAGATGGCATTGGCCTGGGCTCAGCCCCAACACCCACACCTTCTGGACTTAGCCACCTGGTAACCTCGGGCAGGCACGGAAGCCAGAGCACCCTGGGGCTTCCCCACCTGCTGGCCGACACCTGTGCTGCCCGGCTCTCGCCAATGTCCTCTGGTACCAAGGCCCCACTGTGTCCCCAGGATCCAGTGGTGGAGCCGGTGCCAGCCAGCAGCCCACAGGCGACTCGTGCTGCCCAGGGGCCTGGATACGGGGGGGGCAGGTCTCCCTGAGGCTCGGAGGGAAGGTGTCCCGATCGGCTCTCCCGATCTCTGTGGTCCCCAGGGCTCCTGGGCTAGTGGAGACTCCCTCCTCTGCCTCCATCTCCGCACAGCTTCTCCTGTGAGTGGGTCCTAATCTCCCCCTCTCTTTTGGTGGCACCGGGGATTGAACCCAGAGCCTTCTCTCTGGGCTACATCTCCAAGACCTTTTTCATTTTTTTATTCTAAGACAGGGCCTCAGTAGGTCGATAAGCTGCCCAGGCTGGGCTCAGGCTTGTGTTTGTCTGGCCTCAGCCTCCTGAGTGCCGGGATCGCAGACCTGCACCTCCGCGTGCAGCTCAACTCTCGGCCTTTCATAAGAACACCAGTCATAGTGGGTTTGGAGCCCAACCCCATCTGGTGCGATCTCATCTTAGCCAATGATGTCACCAAGGCCCTCATTCCGTGTGAAGCCCCATTGGGAGGTACGTCCCGGGAAGACAAGGAAGTCGGCACAGGGGACTCTCCGAGGCCAGCAGGTGACTGGGAGTTCAGACGTCACCCAGGGCACAGTGAATGCTACAGAGCTGAAGGAGCAGCAGCGGGAATCAGAAGCAACCCTCCCTGCACCGCCCAGTCGCCCCCAGCCCAGCACAGCCTCGGGAGGCTCCTGCGTCCCGGCAGCCACTGCCTGCACCTCAGCACGGGCAGCTCAGTCACAGGCCAGGGCTGGAAAGGGCCCGCAGGACGAGGCCCTGCCCCAGCTGCCAGAGCAACCGAGGCTCATGGGCCTGTGGTGTCCATCTGGGAGGCTGGCCTGGGACAGGGACTTGGGCTTCCCACACCTCAGGCCCCTCAGGATGCACAGATCCCACAAGGGCTGACAGCAAGGCTGGTGGGAAGTCAGAGAGAATGGCTGACGGATGCTGGGCAGAGGATGGCAGTGAGGACTCGGAGATGCTGCTGTATTATTTTTAGGATTTCAAGGGTAAATGGTTTTGGACAAGGTTTATAATTTTTCATGCTCATTGCTGTGAATTCAAAAGCCGCTCCACCTAATCCCTCACCTCTGTTGTTGTAAGGCGGTTTTTGGCAGATCAGTTCCCAGCTGCCTTTTCCTGGTTTAAATCCTGACACCCACCCAGGCTGCAGCTTCCCGTGTGGCTGGTCACACTGGCAACACTAGGAGTGCGAGGGAGGAGGGGCCCTTTGGTGCCCAGAGGTGGGGGTTGGCCCTCGGCTTGTGGGTGGATGGCAGCTGGCGCCCAAGGACCTCTGTCCAGAGTCCTAACCAAGGCAGACCCAGCAAGGAGCCTCGGGGGCTGACTCCAGACGCTGCCCTGCACATCCTGGCAGACTGCAGATCAGCTCAGCACCACTTGGAGTCTGAGGTTTATCAGATGCCCGTGTCCAGGGGGCCTGGACACAGCCTCTTGGAAAAGAAAGGTTCTCTTTAAAAATACACAGAGGGAGAGATGGTTTCAGTTTTTCCAGCAAACAAAAACTTATGCATAATGAAAAAAAAAATCCAAAAGAATAGGAAAGATAAGCCAGGGCAGGGGGTAAATGTTTAGACAGTTTATGAACAAAGGTGTGGTACCCAAGATAGATAAAGAACTACACTGTGGAAAAGGGAAAAGAGAATTCAGTCAGAGAGGAAATGAGCAAAATGAGAAAACAGGCAGCCCCATGTAAGGACCCGAGGGAGGGCACCGGGACAGGAGACACAATAGAAATATTTTCTTTTATTTTATCTTGTTTTTTTGAGACAGGGTCTCACTATGTAGTTCAGGTGGCCTGGATCTTGCCGTGATCCCTCTGCCTCAGCCTCCCGAGTGCTAGGATCGCAGGCCTGCACCACCACACTCACAGCACAATGGAAATAAGAATAGATGCAGCTCACACCCAGCTGAAGGGAAGGGAAGCTTGGTGTGGCAGTGCTGGGCACTGTTCAAACCCGGACAGATGTGCTCCTCAGGGCCTTGCACCTGCAGCCCTTCTCGTCATCTGGGGGCAGCCATGGGAGCCCAGAGCACCCGGGAACCATCTCTGACCTCCACCCCACGTGGGGAGCAACAGCCCTGTGCCAGGCGAGGGCCCTGAAGCAGGCGAAGCGAGGCCTCTGCTCTCCACCCCACAAGGGAAGTGCCGGGAGGCGGCACTGGGGTTATAGACAGCCAAGTGGGGTAGAAATATTACAGGCATCAGACAGGGCTGGGCCCACGAGAGTCAGTGCAGGAGAGGAGCACACATCACAACTGTGGCTGGAGGCGCACCTGTTGGAGGCCCAGCCTCAAGATAAAGACAGAAGGACCTGGCCGACATGCCTCCCCAAGGGATAAGCAATAAATTGAAGATTATACCATAATTGGCATCACCTCATCCAATAAATATAGGTAGACCTATACTTTACCTAATAAAGTATAGGTGGTGACCAGGACCTCCCGATCCATCCCTTCCTTAGAGGCCCCTTGTTCTTTCCATGCACCCTTGCTATGTGACCTGCTTCCCCACTGAATCAATATACCCTAAGTGGCTGTACTTGTAATCTTATTGGTAGATCATAGCTTTGACCCACACTGTACTCACCTCGTGATTTTGCTCTACAAAACCTCCTCTGTAAAGTGACGTCCACAGCAATCCACTTTCAGGTCCCCTCCTGTCTCTCAATAAATTTTTCCTACTCCTAACCTCCATTGTTCCTTAGAATTCATTCAATTTTGGCGAACACGAACTCGGCACATCTGACATCTAGCAGGTTGGGAGTGACATTATTTCCCCTATGTCACTGTGACCCTCCCTGGGGACCCTGGTGCTAGACAGATGTCAAGTCAGGACGTGGGGGTGGCAGAGTGAGAGAAGTGCTTTGCTTAGTATCACATTTGGATTTTCCAGCTGTTTCAGGCAGGTTTCTAATTCCGCAAGTAGTTTTTCTGGAAACTGGGGCCAACACCGTCACAAATCTCCGTGTGCTAGGAAATTATTTTTTCCTCCCTCTTCCTTCCTTCTCTTCCTCTTTTCTTCCCTGTCTCCTTCCCTTCTTCCTTCTCTGCCTCCCTTTCTTTCCTTCTCCTTTTCTTCTCTCCCTCTCTCTCCCTTCTCACCTTTCTTTCACATGGCTTGGGAGCAGGGCAAGGTACACCCATTAAACACACGTTCCCAAGTGGCTGTCATGGCGGAGATGTCTGGCACGAGGGCGGTTGGGCTTGGTGTGTGTTGGAAGGACCCTGGCTGGGCACTGATTCATCAGAGTTGGGGTTTACCGGGGTGGAAGAGCAGGGCCACTGTATCCAGGCCCCTGACATCACTCAGGGCTCGGCCTTGTCCCCGGACTGCACAGCACAGCAGCCTGGAGATGGTTCAGACCCGACGGCTGCCTCCCCTTGAGACTGATACAGTTGCAGCTGGGCTGAGGGTCCCCGAGGCTGAAATAAGGAACTTAACCCATGAAAAAGAATTTTCAGGATGCATCGGTAGAAAGGCTTATTAGAGGGAGATACTGGACATACTCAAGGGCGGAGCGCGGGTGCTGAGAGAAGCGAGGGCCGACACAGCTGGGGTAGGGCTCACATTTGAGACTGTCATCGGGGTGACCTGGACCTGTGTTCTCACTGCCTGCTGGTCACAGTGCAGCCACCACGTGAGTGTGAAGTGCCAAGACCATTAGACAGCTGTCTCTACTGCAGCATTCCAGGCTGGAGGAAGCTGAAGGAAAAGGCAATATCCAGGCGGAAGGGAATGGGCAGACCGTTCGCAGCTGAAAGGGACTTGCCCAGGTGTGCTGTGTTGAGAGCCAATAAACTGGGCTTGTGTTCTGAAGCTGCAGTTTTTCTTTAAAATACAATTTTCCATTCTCGATTTCCTGCTCTCCTTTCTACCTAGTTTTATTTCTTCTCTCCTACCTCGGTATGACCGGAATGGGGACTAGTCAGTTTTAATTACTGCATAACAAATTTCTAGACTTAGCGGCCTGAATCAACAGCCACGTATCACCTCAGGCTAGGGACGGCAGTCACTTTCTTGCAGCTGAGACAGAATACTTGAGACTTCCAATGTAAGAGAGGAGAGGTTTATTTGGGCTCACAGGCTTTAGAGGTGTCAGTTCCTAGTCAGCCGGCTCCACGCAGAAACAGTGAGGCAGAAGGGCCTGCTGCAGAGGAAAGCTGCTCCCACCCACCACGGTGGCCAGGAAGTAGAGCACAAAGGGAGGGGCCAAAGAGGGAAACGGCCCTTCCCGTCTCACCCCCAGTGACCTCCCTTTTCCCACCCTACCCCAGCACATTTGGCTGCATTCCTAATAGCACCCCATGAGCCATCCTCCTTCGGAGGCCATTTTAGATCTAAACCACAGAGGGGTTAGGAGTTGGGGCTGGCTGGCAGGACCCCTGCTCAGGTCTCAGGGGTGCAGAGCTGTCTGCCTGGCCGTGGCCTCAGGGGGCAGAATGTTCCTCTTGGTGGCTGTGGGACCTAGACTTCGGTCTCTGCTGGCTGCCGGCCGGAGACACATGCACATTTCAACCTCCCCAGCTCCTGCTGCTCAAGCTGCAGCTCACAGCCTGGATGACCTCAGCTTCAAGAGAGAGAGAGGCAGTCAGCTCCAAGTGTGTGTGTATGTGGGTGTGTGTAGAAGATCTATAAAAATAAACATAGGGTCCATGTGTTCGTAAAATGTAAGAGACACAAAGTTCTATAATATATGCAGCAATGTATGTATCCATAAAGTATTATAATCAAGAGTGATGCCCATCACCTCAGCTGCTTCCACTGATTAGAGGCAAACCAAAGGAAGGGTGTGACTTGCTGGGGTCACCACAGGCTGGGGCAAGAGCATTGCAACTTTTCTAAGCTCCCAAGAAGAACTTAAGGTACTGCACAGAGCTGGGAAGCAGTGATCCAAGGAGACTTGCTGTTGTGAATCCCCGAGGCCAGTGAGCCTCACAGTCCAGGCTCAGCCAGCGGCTCACCAGCAGCCTGTATGCAGATTTGCTGGGAAAGATGGCCCAGGAGCAGTTAGGTGCACCAGACAGAAGTTTGGAAAAAAGGAGTAAATTGCCCCATTAATATGATAAGTCATTACAAAAGTCCTCTATCTACAATTTTGTGTTATTAATAAAAGCAACTGGCATTTAAATAATTACCATGCAAAGAAAACAAAAAATGGGAAAGACCAAGGAGAAAATACGTTAACGTTGCTGCACAGGGGTACTAAAGATGTTAGTTACAAGACCAAAATCTTTTCCTCAAAGATGAGACGTATACATTTGACAATGACTAAAAGAGTGAATGATGAAGAGAGGAACCATAAAGAACAAACGGCTTAAAATGCAGTTAATTGACAAGGGATCAGCTTGCAAAATTCATAAAAAAACTTTACTAGAGAGACAAGAACAAGGAAGATCATTAGGGTAGGGACGTTGTATCTGGTGAGGCAGAGCGACCCCAGGCCTGACATTCCACTGCCCAACCAGGAGCCCAAGAAGAGGGAGGCAGTGTAGGGAGGCAGAGGAGCAGCCCGGCCTCTGGGGAGCCTACAGCTCCTGCCCTTTTGCACATGGCGGCTCTTCCAGGGTGACTCAGCACTTTCTCTTTCTGGAGCCAGGGCTCATGGGAGATATGCAAATGTTCCTAGGGCACCATGGGAGCCCTTTAAAAGCCTAAATTGGCCAGTTCTCTTCAAATGGCTCCTGGGAGCTGAGGCTCCAGGTTTGGAAGGTGAGGGTCGCTGGGAGGGTTCCAGGGGCCTGGGGCTGGTCTGGAGTCCTAGGGGGATCAATCCCTCTGTCCTCCTGGGCTACTTGGGGCAGGGAGGGCTCTGGGTCCCACTTCCAGGTCTGGAGCTCCACAGGCTGGACTGACGGCTGTCTGGCTCTGAGGGGGTCAGGGTGATGGGCGAGGTTGGGGTTCACCAAGCGACCCCTGACACACGTGGCTCAAGCTGAGTGAGGCCCAACCAACGAGCCTGAACCCCCACACCCCCTCCCAGCAGCCCGCCCACCAGGGAGCGCCTAACCCTACTTCCTTTGGCTTCCCAGAGACTGGAGCAGTGCTCAGCTGGAGGAATTTCCAGAAGCTCAGACTTCCCAATCTTGGCAGGTTCTACCTCCAGGACCCTGAACAAGAAACACCTTCCTGCTCCTGGCAATCTTTCTCCCTCACCCCACCTGTTCTGGGCCTCCACATCCCCAGCAAGCGCCCGCTTGAGGTTCACCCGCAGAGGCAGCAGTGTGGCCATGTGCCCCCCGGTGGAGGTGCGCCTGAGCAGCTTAGGCGTGTCCTACCTCTATGCTTCCTGGCTGTACGAGCTGCAGCATGGAGGCTACCACAGGCCTCAGGTCTGTTTTGCCTGCTTCAAGGTTGCCTTCCAGAACTTCAAAACCCTACTGGAGGACTTGGAGGATGAAGACTGGGAGGACATGGATCTGGAGGAGTCAGAGCCTGAACAGGAAGGGGCCCCAGGGCCAGGGCCTGACCCGGGGCAGCCTGCACAAGAGGTCGCTCTGCCCGGAACCCAGGGGCCAGTGCAGGTGCTCATGGTGCCCAGTGAGCTGATGCTCCTAGGCCTGGGCTCCAAGCATGAAGACTGGGCCCAGGCCCTTCCCTGGAAGATTCCTAAGCTTCCTCACTGTGCCCACTGGCCCAAACCCCCTCCTCCAGATCCGGTGTTCCCCAGAGTGACTCTGTCCCTGGTGGAGCCCGTGCTGCTGGAGCTGGGCACCATGTGGCCAGTGCAGCCTATGGAGGCCGAGGCCTGGTTGCTGGATCTGCAGGTCTTCTGCGTGATGGGCTACCAAGACACCACCATCTACCTGCGGAAGATGACTCCAACTCAGGCCCTGAGCTGTCCAGGAGAGCGCTGGAGAGTGCTGCTGGAGCCGGGTGAGATATGGATGTCAAATATGAAGGTCCAGGGATCAGTCAAGCCACAGGACCTGCTCCACTACCCGCTAGGCATCCAGGAGAGAACAAAAGACGGTGAGCGGATGTTCCCTGCATTCACAGTCCTACATAACAAAGGCTTCTTCGCCATGTCCTTGTGGAACCTGCGGTACTAGGGCAGGAGAGGAGGGGGCTTCAGCCTCTGCTTCATGGTTCCCCACCTCGGGGCAGGACCCGGGACCCCTGGAGACTGGGAGCCGTGTTCCCAGGGGGCCTGGAGAGAGCCTGGCTGTCACGGGAGTCCTGGCTCTGGGGGAGCTGTCCTGCTTCCAGCCCTTCCACCCCGAGCTGGAGAACTGAGGGGCTGAGCCCCAGGCAGTCAGTCACCACTGCCCTGGCCATTCCAGGAGACCAGGGACTGGGCCGGGCCGGCCACTGTCCCTCCTCAGCAGCCGGGGGAGCAGGCGGCAGGGCTGGCGAGCTTCAGCTGGAGGAGTGTGGAGCAGCCTGGGACCGGGAATTGGACCTGCTGGGGACTTAGAGTGGGCATCACCTGTACTCTTACACCAGTGGGGGCTGCCTCGCAGGTGACTTCCTGTACTCCAGAGTATCACACTGACCCTGAGGTGCTGACCCAAGTGGCTGCTTGTGAAGTGGGGAAGGAAGCACAGCACGGTGCACCAGCCCTGCCTAGCTATGCAACGAGAAGCCAGGAGGGGCCCTCGAGCGCACTGACCCCTAGCCAACGCAACGTTTGTGGATGTCCCTGCATGCACATTCCCTGGCAGCCACACGCTGGCCTGTAGTGGGAGGAACCTGTTTTCAAGATTTTTTATGCAGTTCCGTTCTAGCTATTTTGTATGTTGTTTTAATTAAATAAATTCATGAAAGCTTTTATTCAAGCCTGTCCAGAGCTTTCTTAGAAAACCCTTGCTGGTGGCCTTGTTTAGGGTCCCCTCTGGGACAGATCAGTTCTGACAGCACCAGCTTCCCTGGTCAGTGAGCAAAGGGCCAGGAAGTTTACAGCCTCTGGTTAACGACTGGGTGTGGCCTTCCCTCTCTCACTTCCTAGGAGTGACCAGTGATGGACCAGAGGACAGCTGCCTGGCAGGGAGCCTGCTCCCCCTTCACCTCCTGTTCCAGATACTGCATGGAAATCCGGCTGAAACTCCAGGCCGTTTATGGAACTTGGAACCCAATACCTACACCTTGTCCGGGGTCTTGATGTCATAGTCAGTACCACGCGTGGAAAGTCAGCATTTCCCATCCCGGTGCTGAGATGACACATGTCATGACGCAGTTAGGAGGCCCTCAAAGGCACCGCGCAGCATCCCAGACACCAGGGGTGGATAAGGGCTCACAGCAGATGCTCCATGGGGCAGGGTGAGGAAGGTGGTGAGTTCAGGGAGTCGGATGTGCCAGGAAAGCAGGGCCGCCAGTCAGCCTGCCCTGGGCCACCTCCCTCCACCCCCACCTGCCTTGCCCATCCAGTTCCCCTTGATTGCCTCCTGGGCCAGGGCCTGTTGGTGGCGGCCAGATTTAATCATGAACTTTGAGATCGTCCTTTCAAAAGTAACTTCCAGCATTATTTGCTTGTTTCAAATAATGCATATTCATTGCCAAGAATTCAGAAGACAGATAAACAAGGAAGAGGAAAGTGATCCTGGCCAGCCACACATCCTCCAGAGAGAGCTGTCAGCTTTGGATATGATCTGTTTTCTTCTGTGAATATGTACAGGGTTTGGTGTTGTTTATTTATTTTTAAAGAAAAAGCTTAAAAATGTGGTGTGGGCAGATTACTTGTAGGCAGGAAAGGGAGGGCCAGTGCTGACCAGCTCGCTCCTGAGGCTGGCTCTGTGCCCAGCTCTGTGCACAAGGCAGACTTTCTCATCTGGGCAGGTCTAGAACCTGGTTGGGGCCCAGGGTACCCTCCTGAGTCCAGAATCTGTAACCTTCAGAGCCTCCGAGCAGTGGGATGACAGCCCCTAACAGGCAGGAGCGAGGCATTTCGGGCTCCAGAGCCCTCCCCAGAAAAGCCAGGGAGACCTAGAACTCAAAAGTGACTTTGGTGTTCTGCAGGGGACTTGGGTCCCCTCAAGGATGGGTTTCCTGCCGACTGGGGAGGCTGAGCAAGACCCCAAGGAGGTTAAGGTAGAGCTCTGCTGGTGGGGGATCTTCTTCAACAACGGTAAAGGTGGGGCCCGTGGGATCATCAAGGAGACCCCAGCTGAGGAAGGGACTTTGACCCAGTCCTGAGCAACCCCGTGGGGGAGAAGCTGAAGGAAGGGAAGCCAGGAGGCTGGGCCCAGGCTGTCCTTTGAAAATGCTGCCCACTGCCCAGAGGCCCCACCCAGACTGGAGACGTAATGGCTCCTCCTTCCCCAACCTGGGTGCCTTCGGGTTGGGGCTACTAGATCATCCCCCGTATGCCAGGGGTCCTGACCGTTGCCCGCCCCAAGGGCTCACACTTCAGACTCCTCCACGTTCCCTCCCCCATCATTTGTCAAGGCGGAGGGGACACAACCCAGTCCAGTGGTCAGCAGGGGCTTCCAGGACCCTACATGGCCCTTGCCCAGCAGCAGCAGCAGGGCTGCCAGACCCTGGTGAGGCGCTGCCCTGGGCTTGAGCAGCGGGGGAAGGGGGCAGAGGTTGTATCTGCTGCTCCCTACCGAACCCCCACCAAAGCCAGGCCCCTGCCTTATTTAGGGCTCATGCCCCGGGTCCAGTGGGTTTGCGGCATCTTCCTAGCTCTGAAGGGTTGGCCTCTCGGTCAGCTGTGCGGGTGTGTGCTCCTGTCCTCTCCTCAGCTGGAGACCTCTCCCTCCGCAGGTGATCCGAATGTGAAAGGCAAAGCTGTGTCCTGCGGTCAAATTTTGTGGCACTGACTTACAAAGACTGAAAGAAGCTAAGAAAAACTCAGGAATTAAATATTCTGGGCGAATCAGAGCCATGTCACACTCGGTGCCCTGGGAGCTTGTCTCCTCACCCGTCATCTGAATGTGAGAACGGCACATCATACATAACACATTTTTGGGGGTTAAAAACATCTTTTAATACTGATTCCAGTCTAACGTGTTCATCTTGAAGAACAAAACCAAAGTTGTATGCAGAGCACGAGCCAGGAGGCTCTGCCTTGGGCCGTGACAGCCATCCTGGCTCAGGGCGGGCAGAGTCCTCACTGCCCTCACATCATGGCCCTGTGCGGGGAGGGAGGGGCCACCATCAGGCACACGAGGACACCCAGACCGCTCGGCACGTCCCTGCTTGCTGGCCAGAACCTTGCTCCCGTGCGTGGCAGGCAACCTCCGCTCGCAGGGCAGACAGCTGGGCAGGAGCTGCACTCGGGAGAGTGTAGCTGTGACAGCCCGGGGCGCAGGACCCCTGTCCGACATCCACAGTCAGAGGAAATGAGGCCCAGAGAGCAGGAAGGACCCAGCCCACAGACCCTTTGGTCAGGGAAGCCTGTGGGACCGGGAGCCCGGGGCAGGCACCTCCTGTCTTGGCTCTCGGGGCCCGGCTAGGGAGAGCAGGGTCTGCCACAACTTAATGTTTGCCAATGGCTCCCCCTGGTGGCTATTTCAGGCTATGCGGACGGTCGTGCATCACACCTCAAATCTTCCAGGCCTGCGAGGGAGAAAGCAGGGCCTCACCCTCAGACGCGCTCCTGGGAAGAGTCCACAGAGAACCAACAGCCGGTCCCTAGCCTCTCCCGAAGCCCCCGCTCTCCAGCCTCCTCTGCCCCGGCTTGGGACCTGGGAAGTCAGATCCTCTACAGGGCCCAGGCCTCCTTCCACAGAGGTTCCCAGCACACTCCCTCTGCTCCGTCCACTCTGGCCAGCTGCCCCAGCCCTAGAGGCCAGCTACGACTGTGCTCTGTGTGTGTGTGTGTGTGTGCCCAGATGTGTGCGTGTGGCATGTGCCTGTGTGCACAGATATGCTCACATGTGTGTGTGACACATGGACACGTGTGTGTCTGGTGTACCCGTGAGTGCAATGTGTACATGTGTGCACACATGTGCACTTGCTGGCAAGCGTAACCTCCAAGGCTCCTGAAGCGGCCGGGCCCCAGGGCCCAGCTGGTGTGGCCGCTGCTCTGCACACGCCTGGTGAAGGGCAGTGAACAGCAGCGCTGGTGCCTGCCGTTGTGCCCTCAGGATGAGAGGACCGAGCACCAGGTGCTGCCTAGGCTGCCTTTGGGGACGGATGACGGGACAGTCCCGTCTCAGCTCGCCTGTGGTTTCCATGGCTTCTGAAACACACTCACTGCCGAAGAAGTGGGTCGCCACACCACTGCCTTCTCGTGCTGCTGGCTGCCATGTGCCGTCCAGGTTGAGCTGAGCCCCAGGCAGCCATCAAGGATACCCAAGGAGGGGGCCGAGCCAGGGGCCGGGAGGGTGTCACTCGGGGCAGCTCAGGGGGGTCAGGCCAGCCAGGGCTAACATGGGTCCCGGGCACAGCACCATCACCAGGGCCTCAGCCATGGCCACGGCTGCTTCACTTCCTGCTGTGACAAATGAGCTCCTCCCCCAAACAGACCAGTAGACCAGTGTCTGGGCACAGAGGCCTCCACAAATGCCCTGCTGGCAGGGCAAGTGACCTTGGTGAGAGCTGGAGTCCCCGGAGCCGGCATCTACAGGAACAGAAGCCGCGCCTGCCTGGGCTCCAGCTGGGCTGTGCTGAGCCTGCGGCCTGACAAGGGCAGGTCAGAGTCCAGAGGCCCCAACAGCCCCACACTGGGCTGCTTCATCCTGCAGAGCTTCCGAGTGGCCTGTCCAGGTCTGAAAACCGTGTGTTCCGTGGTGGTGGAGATCCAAGAAGGCTAGAGGTGCAGCCAGCAGGCCCGGCACCATGGTTGTGTCATGCTGAGCCCAGGGTCATTGTGGCACTGCATAAGAACCAACTCCAGAATACCTTCTCTTTGTGAAAACAGCACGTCACATGGAAAAGTGTCTTTGTGTCCTTGTGGGGCCTTCTGAGGACAGGTGCAGCCTGGTGCACACACATGGTCCCTTGCTTCCGGGGAAATGCTGGGCTCCAGATGTCCAGCCCTGGGACACCTGGCCTGCAGGGGGAGGGGGAGCTCATGCCTCAGCCCCAGATGACTAGGAAAGGGTGGCTGATTTCAGCACCACCTGTCCTGTGTGCAGATCATTCAGCTCACCTGTCAATTCTCCTCTCCACGGTGGGGAGGGGAGGAGATGCTGATGCATAAAAGCTGCCCAGTTGTGAGAGCTATCTGTAATCAGGAACCCCAGGAAGGATAAAGGGACACGCATCGCCCACACATCCGCGCTGCACGCGAGGCCAGGAAACCAGGGTGTGCTCCCTACATTTCAGGAAGTGGGGTGAGAGCCAGGAATGTGCCAGGAGGAGGTCATAAAATTTCTGATCGAGCCCACTGGAAGGGCAAGAAGGAAGCAGGCAGAAGAGGCCCCTTTTCGATAGCAGCTGGAACTAGGTGATGGGTGAATCTGGTTTATTGTTCTCTTCTGTCTATCCGTGCTGATGTCTGAAATTTTCCATAATGAAAGCTGACTTTGGGACATCAGCCACTCCACAGCTTCTGCTGGGGCTGGAAAGACACGAACACATCCAGTCTACGTCACTGGCATAGCTCACTCGCGACAATAGGCCTGGAAGAAAAAAATAAACCAGCTAGGGAGCAAAGGTTTGGATAAACCTTGGATAACTCTGACCATGCCTTAAAGCTACAAAACAAGCCTAGAGAGTAAAGGTGTGGGTCACTTAGGGTAACTCTGATCATGTCTTCAAGCTCCAGTCTCCTTGTCTCCTCTCTACCTACGGGCAGCTTTATTTATTCTTCCTGCTTACTTCAGTTTAAGAGCAGACAAGGACTAGATGCATTAGGGATGTGTGCCGGGCGTGGTGCGGGTAAGTTCTGGAGGGAGAAAGAGATGGAGGAAAGCTCTGAGGCCTGGTGCTGTCCTGACCCCACCATGCACAGTAAGACTGGGGCTCTGTGCTCGCCCCGGTGTTCAGCCTTGGAGGAATGGAAGACACCAGACAGCCTCTGAGGCCCCTGCCCCATCCCCGCTGTGGCTGCAGGAAACTTGCTCTGCCCTGCAGCTGGTTGGGAGTCAGGCAAAAGGCCCCTTCCCTGCTTAATCTTAATAAGAAATGGACAAAGATCTCTCTCTCTCTCTCTCTCTCTCTCTCTCTCTCTCTCTCTCTCTCTCCTTCTCCCTCTCTTTCTCCCTCTCCTTTTTTTTCTTTCAAGAAATCATTGCTTCTGTCTGTCCATCCAGTTTGCCTGCACGTCCCACTGTTCTAGCTTCAGAGACTACCATGCTTGCTCTCTCAATCAACTTGATTTTTCTTCCTTCTGGCCTCATCACCAAAAGTTGCAGCTTCCCATTTGTTTTCTTTCTGCAGCTACTGCAGAGCTGCCGTTTCCCCTCCTCTCTCCTTTTCTTTTATACTTTGAATCAATGGCTGACAGTGCCGGGGGGGGGGGGCGGCATGCGCATGGGTGGCATTTTGTGTGTCCTGTGTTTTATTCTCCAGCTGAGCCAGGCAGCCAGGTTGGCAGTGGGGCTGGCCCTTCCTCCCTTGTGCTCTGACCCCCTCGTGCCAGCAGGAAGCTCTGGGTGGTGGCTCTGATTTGCACCCTTCACTCCAGGGCTTGCCTGTGGCAATCCTATTTCTGTAAAATATACATGTGCTTGGGTCACCATTTCTTAGAAAGGCAACTTAAGATAAAAGGCCACACACCAGTCTGCCTGCCATAAATTTTTGCGTGTAACAAAGAGATTCCTGAGTCACAGGATCTGTTCTTCCAATCGGGTTAGACTGTAAGGCTAACCATGGAGGGGGGCAGGGGCCCTGCCTACTGGATCAGGAAATAAAAACCGGGGGCCTACTTGGTGTGCGCTGGCTGGCTTTGTTTCGCCTGCCACCCACCCTCTGCAGAGGTAAAGCATTGCCAAAAGCTTTTCAAAGGTCTGGTTTCTTTTGTCCTGTTTGCACATTGGAAAATTTATATCCAACAGAGGGGCTCACGTGGGAATGGGGTGGGAAGCTGGGGAGCATCCTGGGCCTCTCTTGGTCGCTCACACAGGAACAGGAGACAGACCCCGGCCCCCAGGCCCCCAGCCCCGTGCTCTTAGCTGCTCCTTCTGCTCCCTCACCTCCCTCCATGCCTGGGAGCATCTCAAGTTGCACCCCTGCCTCTGATCAGGGAGCCTGGACACCTTTCCTTCTGCTGGATCCCAAAGGCCCAGGGCCTCTGTCCAGCCCCTGGGTCTGCAGCTTTGTTGCAGGTGGAGCTCAGGCCCACAGTCATCTTCTAAGAGCAGCAACCAGGCCGGCAAACCTCTTGCCAGGGACCCAGGGCCTAGGTGGGGAGGGGGCCCTGAGAGGCTGTGCTGCACCATGCCGACCGCCAGGGGGCAGAGCGGGGCCTGCTGCAGGGAGCCCCAGGGATGGGGTGGGAGGAGGGACAGGTGCCTCCAGGGCCCAACCTTGATCCCCACCCCACCCCACCTGGTTCCTCTTGGGGTCACAGGTGTTTCCTCTGCTTCTTTTTTTAATTGCAATTATGTCTTGAGTGTTTTCTTCTGCACATGAATGAAAAACTGAATTTTTTCTAGACATGTAACATTCTGCACTCTGAAGCACCTCCATTAACCTTTAGCCAAATGAACCAATTAACAAACCATCACATTTGTTTTAGTGCCAAACCAAAACCCCACAAGAAGCTTTTTCTGCATCTGAGGACATTCCAACACTGGCTCTTGAGAACAGGGTGGCATCACCAATCCCCTGAGAGTTCCTTTACTCAACTCGGGTAGAAATCACAAATCGGCAAAGTGCAGCTCTGCTAGTGGCCCTGAAGTTAAGGCTGGGTGCTGTTCTTGTGCCAGAAACTGTGGGTCAGCTCTGCCAGTCCCTGGTCTCTGGAGCTCTTCAGGTGGAACAGTCCCTTATGTTTACAGTTCTTTTTTTTAAATCCACCACTCTGTCCACATGACTCAGGACAGGAACCCCAAGTAGATTTACAGGATTTTCTGAGCCCACACCACCCTGGAAATAAGTAATGGGCAGATTTACAAGACCATTTAAGAGAGGGTTTACTTGAACAGGACCTGTGCCTCCAAAACGGGAGGTAGGGACCCAGAGTGAGCCCTCCACAATCGACCCAAGAGAGTGTGAAGGGCATGCCAGTCATACAGCAGCTGCAGGCCTGGGACCGGTCTAAACCCGAACCTCATTCCTACTGCTCGGTTTAAATTCAAGCAGGCCCGACATCTCCCTGAGCAGGTGCAGGGTGTCCGGGGTCACTGGAGACTGGCTATTTGGTAAATGGCAAGGCTGACCCGGGAAATCTGCAGGAGAGCTCGCTGTGTAGCTGTGGGTTACTGGCGTCTGGGGAGGTCAGGGATGGAAACAGTGGGCCCAGAGCCTTCCCTGACCCCTGCCACATCAGGATGGCTTCCTTCTTCAGAACGGGAACGGGAGCCGCCGCTAGCAGCCGCCTGCTTCTCCTGTCAGAGTGGCTGTGAGGTGACCCGAGGGTGGGGAGGACGCCGAGACCAGCTGGCCCAGTTCCTCCTCGGGGGCCTCGGGGAGCAAAGGGAAGCAAAGAGGAGGGGCGTGACAGCCGGGGGCCGAACCATGTCCCTCCACAGTCCCAGGCGAAGGGGAGAAGAAGGTTTCCTGGGGCTCAGTGGGAATCCTCCACTCACTGTGGCACCACGAGGCTGAAGCCCCCCGGGACACTGCCTGGTGCCCTCGGCCTCACAATGCTGGGTTTGGCCAGCACAGGCCAGGCCCATCCATCAGCTCCCACCTGGCACTCACCACACCCTGGGCACAACCTCTGGGGTCTCCCTGTGACTGGGGCTCCTGAAATCTGTCACTTCTTGCTCAAAATAGTCAAGAGTGTGGATGCACCTGAAGATCAGGTCAAGGTCACCTTTAATACCCTGTGGGGGGCACGAAGCCCTGACGCCACGGCACACCTCTGCAGGAGACCCAGAAGAGACACTGGGGCTGAAGACTGACCATTTCCTTCCTTGGGACTCCTCTGAGGCTCAGGTCTGCTGCACTCTAGCTCAGGATTCTGATCTCACCTGCGGGGGGAGGCAGGGGCCAAGCTCAGACTCCACTGGGCAGACACTCGGGTACAGGCCAGCAGCTCACACACAAACCCCTCACAGCTCGGCACACTCGGCCTGCACACACACTCATGCACACACAGATGTACATCGGACCTTCCCTTTACCCAGCCAGGCCCAGAGGGGTTGAACCCATTTCACAGGGGTCCCCAGTCAGAGGCGCCCTGGGCTCAGATACAACATGTTTTGTTTCTGATGCAAATTCCCGGGAGCCTTGGGAGGAGGCAGAAGCCCACACTGCCGTGCCAGCCTCCAGGCTGTCTTGGGGATGAGGTGAGGGCTGAGACAGGGGGACCCTTGGGGCTTCCTGATGAGGACGGAGGACCCAGGTAGGGCAGACTGTCAGATCTGGGCCCAAGGAGACCCTGCTACGACCCTCTCTCCTCCAGGGTGGCTGCACCTCACCTGCCCTCGAGCAGGCACAGGACCCCCTACCTGGAGGGGCCTCCGGGAATTTCTGAGCCGGCACTGGATGAGCATAATGATCCCAGCAATGCCCAGGACAAGAAAGAGAACAGCTGCGGCCATGCCCACTGGGGTCCGGTGCTTCTGGATCCAAGGCGACACCACTACAGTGGAAGGGTAGGTGGGCCTCCTCGGCAGCACCCTTCTCTCCAGCCACTCACCCTGGGCCCTGAAAGCCCCCACACCCCCTAATGACAACGGCGGAGGCCTGGCAGGCAGGGCTGAAGGGCGCCAGGCGGGAAGGGCTCTGGGCAGTGGCAGCAGGACCACCAAGCCCTGAGGAGCCCCCAGGGGGGCCTGTACCTGGCGGCAGGGGCGAAACACTCAGGGGAGACACGGTCAGCACTGGACCTGGCTCCTCCTCCGGGCCCTGGGGCTCTGCGGGAGAGACGCCACTGTCAGGCTGGGGACTAGCCGAGGCACATGCCGAGCTCCGGGCAGCGGGAGTCCAGGGGGGCTTCCTTGGGACCCCCAGGCCCCAGATTGCAGCCACTACCACCTGAGGCTCAGGCAGAGGAAGGAAAAGGGGGAGGGCAGTGGGCTTTGAGGCCGGGAGGGTCCCTGGGCTGCTCCGTGGTGGGGGGAAGCCAGGGCCCAGGCAGGAGGGACCCTCTCCCTCAGCCTGCCCCGGGACGCTTGGGCCCCTCCTCCTCCCCGCGGTCCCCTCCCCCAGTCCTCACCTGAGACAGTCAGCACAGTGACTCTGTCATATCTCTGCAGTCCCCGAAGATGCCAGCGGTACTGCCCTGCGTGGGCGCCCTGGGCAGCCTGGATGACCAGCTCAGCCCGGCCCCCTCGAACCCACAGCTGCCACCCTTCCCGGGAGAAGCTTCCCGGGGTGTCCTCTCTGAAGATGAGCCTGGGCTGGCCGTGGGCACTCAGCCAGATCTCGATGTGGGTGAAGGCGTTGGAGCTGTTGCAGGCCATCACGGCCCGGCCGCCCCTGGACACGGACACCACGCCCTCCGTGCAGGCGGGGCTGTCCCACCCTGTGGGCATGGTCACCTTCAGGCCAAGGCCTTGGAGGCCGGCTGTCCACTCTCTTGGGGCCCGGGGCCGGGGCAGGGGCAGGGGCAGGAAGGGGCCTCGCAGGACACGCTGAGCTCTCCATCTGCCCCATCAGACCAAAGCAGCACACAGCTCGGTGTGGAAGGAACAGAATCAGTGCATGCAGGGAGCTGGTGGGCCAGGGTGTGAGCCCCTGAGCCTGCCCGCTCAGGACAAGGCAGCTGGTCTATGGGACATTCCTGCTGTCCCCTCCCCAGCTGTCCCCTCAGGAGGGTGTTGGGGTGTAAGAGCCGCAGTAGGCATCCTGGGGGACCTGAGCCCGAATCCCTGCTGTCCCCTGTTGGCCGTCAGTGACCGGGACACTGGATGCTCTGGGGTGTCCCTGCATGGCTTTAGAAGTGGAGAGCTGTGTCGGGGGAATCACTGGGTCCCTGTCCACTGCAGACCGGGTTCAGGCAGCCTGAGCCTCTGGTCCTTGAAGGCCCAGTAGGTGCAGAGGCAGCTGGCCAGGGCTGGATCGGCGGCCGAGGCGGTGCCCTCAGCCCTGTGGAGCCGCCCTTTCCCCGCCCAGGCCCAGGTCTCCGACTGCTGGGCTCCCCTTCCCTCGGAACTGGATGTGGCCCTGGGCACCCCTGCCAGGGTGTGACAGTGACCGCCAGGCACTGCCGGTGTTGTCTGCCGCCTGCCACCCTGGGGCCCTGTGGCCTGCCCTCTCCCTACCCAGGGCTCCAGCCCTGCTTGTCTCCTTCGGGGCCTGGGTGCGTGGGGTCCTGGCCACCTCCTGGGCCCTGGGTCAGGTCTGGGCCTCTCCATGGCTTCCCACCCCCACCTGGTTCCCAGGCCTTCCCCTGGCTGAGTGGGGCCCCAAACCTACTTGTATGCTGAGCCTGCAGGGAGGGGGCCAGGAGCAGGAAGGCCCCGAGCACCCTGAGGAAGAGGCGGAGTGGGGCCGAGGGCCCAGAGCGCATGGCTGCTGCTTGCACTTGGGACCCCTGTCCTGCAGACCCTGGAGGAAGGAAAGCCAGGGGTCAGAGCCCACGGGAGTGGCTCGGCCCAGGTCCCCGTATCGGCCCCACCAGTCAGGCCCGCAATGTCCGTGCCTCTGCTGGACGCTGAGGCCTCAGCACCCGGCCTTCCCTGCTGTCCCTATGCTCCATGCAGTGTGAGGTGCCGGCCACGCGAAGCCACGGGGAGGCAGCAGCACCTCTGCCTTGCGGTTCCTGGCACTGAGCTGTGTACACTGTGCCCTTCCCGTGAGCTCTGTGCCAAATGAGCAGTGCTGGGCCTGAGCTGCCTTTCCCCAGGAGGGTCCTGGCTGGGCCTCCACTCCCTCCAGCCCTGACGCTGCTCTGTGACCTCAGGCGGTGGGCTCTGCTCTGGGTGTGGAGCTGTAGGTCTCCTTCCCCTTCTCCCCGGCCCAGGACACCCCCAGGTCACAGAGCTCCTTACTGTCACGCTGGGTGGGGCGCCCCAGTGTCCACTCAGTCAGTTGCTCACAAATGTTCTCGCATCATCAGCACCGGAAGACTCAGCAAGCTCAGGCCTCCCCCAGCCTGCGCCGCTGAAGCCCTTCTGTCCGCCCACCACCTCCTGGGCCCTGGCCTCACTCCATGCTGTGATGGTTCAGCCTTCACTGCGGGCTTGCTTGGCCCGGGATCCACCGGGGGATTGGTGCCGCACACTCTGGGTGTCAGGGTTGTCCCTGGAGGTATGACCCTGGGTTCTCTGGTGGCCCTCAGCCCTTCCTCTCTGCTGCTGTTGCCCTGCTCTGCTTGTGGGCCACCAGGAACTGATTGGGTTTTTTTCACCACCAAAGCATTTCTGCCTTAGAGTCAGCTGACCATGGACCGGATCCTCTGCAGCCAGGAGCAAAAGTAACCCCTTCTTCTTTCATGTTGTGTCTCTCAGGGTTTTGGTTCCAGTGATGAACAGCTGACGGATGCACTTGGTGCTCCCTTGATATACATTTTGGTTTTGGTTTTTTGCACCTCTGCATCCCCGAGACACAGGGAAGCTTTACTCTATCAGTACGACAGGCTGCTGGCTGTTTCAGGTGGATGGGCCCATCTCGTTTTGCAGTCTTGCCTGTACCTTAACCGTTAGGCCCACCCTGCCCACATCGCCCCATCATGGTGGAGGAGGCAGCTCCAGGTCCCTGCACATCCCTCCCAAGCCTCCATCCAGGCTCCCTGTACCAGAGTGAACACCCTTCCCATGGCACCCTACTGCATTGCCCACGGGTTTCTCCTCTGGGTACATCAGATCCTCTCTCAAGTGCCCCCTGCAGCTCTCTGAGATGTTAACTAGGACTGGGGACAGGCAGGACTCCAAGGAACACTGGGCACTTGTTCTCCTGGGCCAGGCCGCAGAGACAGAGACCAGCCAGGGGGACCAGCCTCCTGCACTGCTGCCTCCCCACTCCTCTGTGGACCTTCGTGATCCTGTTTCCTGAACACCTCCCACTCTCTCCACCTGCACACGCTCACTCCTGAACAACACAAGCACACGTAAGCACACAGGTGCAGCCGCACACAGGGACACACACAGGGCACTGGAGGTGGGTCCAGGCAGCAGAGATGAGCTCTGAGCCCCGAGGAGGTCACCTCAAGACACACGACAGGTGGTGCACTCAGGCCGGGTGGATCTGGACACACTGAGAGCCCCAGAGCCTGACCAGTGCCCGACAAGGAGCACAACTTTGCAGGAGGAAACTCAGCTTCCCAGGAGGACTGGGTCAGTGCCCTGGGTGGGGCCTAGCCCGGCGCCCAGACCCACGCCAGGCTGGTCAAAGTCTCCTTCTCACCCAAACCCATGACACAGAGAGGCGGCCGAGGTGTGATTGCGTGACGTGCTCCTCAGCCTGCAGAAGGCAGGCACCTGCTGCTGCAGGGCTCCCTCCTGCGGCTCCCTGAGGCCCCACATGGTCCCCACAGCAAACACACTTGGCCCTGACTCACGCAATCCCCCCTCCGAGCCCTGTTCCCTGCTGCTGCGGCCGCACCTTAGGGAAATCACCTCACTCGTCACTGTCACCAGTCTTGTTTCTTCGAGGCATAATGGCCAAAAATAATCATGGCAGAAGGTTTCAGGGACCCGCGTGCCCCATGGAAAGCTGTCCTGATACCCCGCAACGTGCTGCCGGGGGCTCTGGATCCCCCTGTTGCCGAAGCCCGAGGCAGCCCTAGGCCTTGGACACCAGGGCCACCTCTCCGGGCCCTGCCTGGCGCCTCGTTCGTGGGAGCCCGGGACAGCCCCAAATCCAGGCAGGGACATAGAGCTTATGCCCTTGTTAACCTCCCGAGCAGCCTTCACTTCAGGCTGGTGCGGCGGCCTTCGCCGTGGCCTGAGGTGACAACCGAGGATCACAGTGTGGCCACAGGCCTTTGCTGGGAAGACTGCTCCTCAGGGGCTCCTCGACTGACTGGAGGCTGGAGGTCTGGGGCTCCTCACCGGGGACCCCACCGGCGGACAGGCAGGCAACCTGGCCCTGAGGTGCTGAACGGAGCTGCACGTGGGCAAGTCCCCGCCTTCCCTTGTCCTTGAGAGCCCTGCTCTGTCCCTCCTTCACCCCCTGCCAGGAGCAGGCCAGGCCTGAAGGGTGGGCAGGGCCAGGACTGTCCTCCCACTCTGCTAGCTGCTACAGGAGCCCCACCCTCACCGGGACACAGGCTATACCTGAGTCTTTGCTTTTCTTTCCTGGGACTTTCTATTCCTGGCCCACGCATCACAGGTGGATATTCCGTGGCTGCTCAGCCAAAGGCCACAAGGACCATCATGGCACGGCCAGCCCTACCCAGCCATCCTCGGGAGTGGTGTGCTCTGCCTGTCCTCCACTTACGTCCAGGGACAGGCCCGGCCCTTGCTGCCTCCGGACTTTAGTCCTTTCTCGGCACTAAGAGCTGCTCCCTGGCCGGCTCTCCAGTGAAATCCACATCTCTGTGACCAGACCCTGTAGCCCTGAGGGCCAGTCACTCACACCAGAGTCCTCCTGTCTGGCTGCCCACCTAGGCTCTGCCCTGGACTTGGGGGCAGGTTCTGTTCCCCCTGGGCGCCTTTGCTGTGACCGAGGCCCTGTGTGCCCAGCCCCCTGCTCCAGCTTCCACAAGCTCGGCCCTATAGGGGGTGAGGCGGCAGGAGGGTGCTGTCCCCTCTCGCTGGGCTCTGTGTCCTCCATGTCCTGGCACTGGCTGCCTGGACTCCTGGGCGGGGAACCTCTGAGATCTCCAGCCAAGGTGGGGCCGCGGTCTGGCTGTCAGGTGGGACCACCTCACTGGCCCCCTGGGCCACTCCCTTACCAGCCCCTTGCTGCGTCCCCTGCAGTGCCCAGTGGCAGTGGGGACCAGGGCAGCCCTGGCTGGCGGGCGCCTGGAGCAGGTCGCACCCCCTCCCCAGAGCCCACACGTGTGGCACCCAACACCTGGCACCCATCATCCAACAGTCACCCCTCCACCAAGGGCCGACGCCCCAGAGTTGAGCTGAGCCCTTTGCGAAGGCCCTCCCCCCTGCAGGAAGCACCGGGGCCCCGTGGGCAGGGCTGGAGCCCCGTCAGCCTCACCCTGGCCCTCACCACCTCCCACCTGGACTCTCCAGGCCCTTGGTCCAGTCCTCTGCACAGCAGCTGCGCTGGTACCTGGAATTTGCTCTGATTCCTAGGAGAAGCTCGCCCGGGGACACTGGGGCCTCTCAAGTGGCCACACACTGCCCATCCAGTGCAGTGAGATGCCCTGAAATGTCAGGTGAACCACCAAGCTGGGCGAGGTGACACACTGTCATCCCAGCACTCCGGGAGGCTGAAAAGGCAGGCTGCAAACTCAGCCCCAGCCTGGGCAACTTAGCCACTTAGCAAAACTGTCTCGATCGCTGTAGCTCAATGTGAAGGCCCTGGGTTCAGTCCCAGGACTGAAAAAACAAAACCAACCAAGCACTCGTAGGACATTGCAATATTTGGGACACAGTTATATGTAAAACAGATTTACTGTCTGAAATTAAAAAACAGGAGCGTCCTACATTCTGGTTTGACCTTCTGGCCATTCTCTCTCGCTGTTGTTCTGGTGACTGCAGGAAAAAGCCCACGGGAGTAAGGTGCTCCAACTAAAAGTCAGAGAGGAGGCTTGGAGGAGTGAGGAGCGGCCACGCAGCTCAGTGTGGAGCCTCAGGACTTGCAGGGCTGGAGAAAGACAATGACCGACCAGATGCTAAGCACCCACGGGAAGCTGGCATCCTCACACATTAAAGTGGGAGCTGAACAGGGATCTGCAGAGTGCCTGCCACACACAGCCTGAGTCCTCACCGTGACAAACTACAGCCGTCCTGGACCCCCCAGCCCAGCCCACCTGGCGACACTGTACCCTGCTCCTCCCACCACTGGCACACAGGGAGATTCAGGTAGGGCATGGGTGTGGATGCTGGGTCGTCTTGGGGCTGGACACACTGGGGACAGGTATGCTTGGCAGGGTCCCCACTGCTACTAGCACCTGAGGGGGCCAGCACTGCCATCCTGGCACCTGAAGGGGCTTGGGTAAGCTACATGCTGCCTAGTCTCAGGTGAGCCTCAACGGCGCTGACCAGGCCTACTTCAGTCCACACTGTGGAGGACAGGACCTGATAGCTCCCAGCAGGCAGCTGCAGCCTGTGAGGTCAGCCAGCCGGGGCTCCTGTGCAGGAGGCTCGAGGGTCCCTTGAGGGGACCACGGAAGGGCAACTGAGTCGCCCCATGGGGACACAGCAAATACCTTGCTGCCTCTGCCCTGGCTCGAGCTGTCCCATGTGCCCGGCTGCCCTGCCCTCCTGTGCTGGGCTCAGAAGCCTCCTGTGCTGGGCTCAGTACCCATTCCCCCTGGTCCCGCCACTGGAGCACCCCCTCCAGGGTTCCAGGGCTCTGCTGAGGCAGGAGCTATTTCTTAGTTGCAGAGCATGAAGGGAGGGAGCTGGAAGCCTGGGTTAGAGGGAGGCCCAGGGCTGCCTATCTGCCTCCTGGGTGGGTGCGTGTGCATGTGTGTTCACGTGTATGCTGAGTGCACATGAGCATATGTGAGTGTGCAGTGTGGGTGTAAGAGGAGGAATGCCCATGAGGAGGCCTCTCCCGAGAGCACACGCCTGTGAGTGACACTGGGTCTGTGGGTCTGCACACGCCTGTGCATGCGTGTGGGTGTGCACAGATCTGTGCACGCAGTGTGAAGAGTGCCTGTCCAGGAGCACAGCAGCCCCACCTGGAGTGGGGGGGACAGGTCCCTCCCAGCCCGGCCTGAGGCCCCAGGAGAGATGCAGGTCCCTCTGCCACCACAGCCAGACCACCTGGCCTGTCTCCCACCCTACGCCTCGCCTGGCTAGCGACCCTGGACCTGCCTTGCTCCCTGCGGTCTCTGAGGTAACAGGGGCTGAGGGTCCCGGAGGTGCCACAGCCAGGGACTCCACGTTCCCCCTCAAAGTCCCCAACCCCGGACCACCCGGTCCCCTGAGTGCTCACCTCCTGCCCTCCCAGCCACTCACCTGCTCCCTCCTCCAGCAGAACCTTCAACTCCTCTGCAGCCTCCAGCTCTGAGAGCCCGGAGGAGAACTGATGACTCTGGGGGTGGGGCCGGAGGAGGGGCAGGGCAGCAGGGCTGTCCTAGCCCAGGGAGGAAGCTCTTCTGGGAAGAACAAGAGTTTCCAGGACTTGTCTGTGTTCACAGAAAGCGCCAGGCCTTTCTTGGAGGCGCCCCATGAAGGTGTTCCTGTTAGAAGCTGTCCTTAGCTGCTCACCTGCAGCAAGCAGGCAGAGGCGGCAGGTGCTGTCCAGGAGAGCGGGCCAGGGCTGGTCCTGGCTCAGGGACTCAGGGAAGGGTCCCCTTCTCCTGGGGATCAGGGCCAGCGGGACTGACATGGGCTGGGGACAGGCACAGCAGGGGAGTGGCCTGGCTGCCCGGGATCCTCCCCTGCCCAGGGCTGAGCTGTGGGGGAAGGGAAGGTGGCAGCACTGGGTGTGGGGCAGGGACACAGAGCAGGGTGGGCTGTGGGTGGTGGGCAGCAGGAGGCAGCAGAGTTCCAGCCCTGTGCTGCCCCTGTCCTGCTCTGCTCCCTCCCCACTGGGGTTCTGGGCTCTGTAGACACAGCCCTGGTGGCTCTGACCCACATACTGAGGTTATCAGGGGCAGTCAGTACAGAGATCTGGGACCTGCTCCTGCAGCACAGCTCTGAGGGCCTGGGATCCTGTCAAGAGGCTCATCTGGGCAGAGATGGTAGAGAAGGCAGAGCTGTGTCCCCTCCGGCCCCTGGAGGAAGCAGCTGCCTGGCTCCTGAGTTGGCCCTCCTCCTGCTCCTCAGCTCCAGACCCTGCACCTGCCACCACATGCCTCCCACTAGGAGGGGCTGCCGGGCCCTGGGCTCGCTGCCTCTGCTGACAGACCCAGCTGGCCACACTGCCCAGCCTCCTGACTCCAGCTCCATCCTGGTCCCAGCCCAGAGTCAGACGGCCACCCCTCGGGAGCCCCTGGGGAGCCCATGCAGGGTCCGGCAAGGGATCCCCTATTGCTGGGCCAGGAGATGAGCTGGGGTGACAGGGACAGCATGTGTCTCCACACTTAGGGACCTGGGGAGTGCCGGCCAGTGACTGGCCTGCACTTCCAGAAGTCATGAGTCCTCGGGGCCAGCAGCCCCTGGGTCCAGAGCTGGCGGCAGAGGCCAAAGTCCTCAGCGTGGTTCCAAAGCAGCAACCTTCTCCCAGCAGGCAGATAAGCCCAACCTCATGGCCTTGGTGAAGAGGGCACAGGGTTGCTAGGGCACCAAGCCCAGAGGCTGGGCCAGCCCAGGGAGCCCCAGGCACCCAGAGTGTCAGCAGGGGTGGGAGAGGCCCACAGGGGACCAGCCACCTTCATGTCCTCTGTGCCATGCCCGCCTGTCTCCGTGCCCGGCCAGGCCTGTCCCTGGCCCACACCTCGGAAGCAAGGCCCGCTCTCTGCCCTCCCTCCAGGCTGGGGCTCCAGGCAGGGGCCTCCTGGGCAGGTGCATCCCAGTCCTCATGGGGAGCAGTCCCAGGGGCTCTGCAGGGCCTCAGCCTTTCATCCTCACCCCGAGATGCCCTGGGGGTTTGTTCACTTGGGCATCCTCATGAAGTGAGGATGAAGTGTGCGTTGTGAAACTGAAACCAGTTTGTGTGTCTGGAATGAGACCAGGAAAACCCTGGAGTCCTCTGCACAGACAGGACCCAAACTCTGCTTCCAGTTCCCCAGATGACTGAGCTCATCCCCTTCCCCGCCTTCCAGAGGTCCGAGTGCACACAAACATGCTTGCATGTGGCTCAGTGTCTCTTCCAGCATTGGCAGTGCCCTGGATCGAACTCCCAGGAGCACTGCTGGTCACTCACCCCATCCCCTAATCCTGCCAGGCCGCCTCCCTCCTCCCTCCCCTGACTTGTGGAGCCTGTGTCCTCTTTCCTAGGAATCTGTAGGCCTAGTGATGACTTCCTGGTTTACCGATGTGGATTTAGCAGCATCTTCTGACAATTCTAGCAGTGCTGGCATGTTTCTCTCTCTGTTGTTCACATCATTCTGATGTGTGGGACTCTCCCTCGGCTTCTCTCATCTTTGGCCCTAGGGTTGTGTGCAGGACTCCAAGTTCACAGTTACCATCAGGTTCAAGTGAAGCTGTTCTCGAGACACGGGGTCTTCTCTTATGCGGAGCTCCACAATGTCCCATAGGCCTCGGAGCCACCAGCTTGACCCATCTCCTGGGATGAGGAGATCAGGTTCTCACCTGGGTCCTGGACCCAGATCTCTGCCCAGCCAGACCCTGGGGAATCCAGGAGGTGCCCATCTCTGTCCTGGCCTCCATCCCACAGGGAAGTTTCAAATATGGGTGCCCAGAGGAACATGCCCAGGAGTGTTCTCTGCAGTGTGAGCAGATAACACGAAGACAGTCACATGGGGCCTGTGCCCAGCGCTATTTCCTCCCCAGTGACACACGCTGAGTGTCTGGGGACACTCCCTGTCCTGAGGGTCGGCCCTCTGGGGTGTGCCTCTCAGCTCCTGCAGCCCCAGGCTGAGACAAGTAAGTCCTATGCAGGACAAGGGTAGGGGCAAACGTGGGAACGGGGTGGGAAGCTGGGGAGCATCCTGGGCCTCTCTGGGTCGCTCACACAGGAACAGGAGACAGACCCCAGCCCCCAGCCCCGTGCTCTTAGCTGCTCCTTCTGCTCCCTCACCTCCCTCCATGCCTGGGAACATCTCAAGTTGCACCCCTGCCTCTGATCAGGGAGCCTGGACACCTTTCCTTCTGCCGGATCCCAAAGGCCCAGGGCCTCTGTCCAGCCCCTGGGTCTGCAGCTTTGTTGCAGGTGGAGCTCAGGCCCACAGTCATCTTCTAAGAGCAGCAACCAGGCCGGCAAACCTCTTGCCAGGGACCCAGGGCCTAGGTGGGGAGGGGGCCCTGAGAGGCTGTGCTGCACCATGCCGACCGCCAGGGGGCAGAGTGGGGCCTGCTGCAGGGAGCCCCAGGGATGGGGTGGGAGGAGGGACAGGTGCCTCCAGGGCCCAACCTTGATCCCCACCCCACCCCACCTGGTTCCTCTTGGGGTCACAGGTGTTTCCTCTGCTTGTCTTTTTTATTGCAATTGTTATCTTGACTGTTTTCTTCCTACATGAGTGATAAACAGAATTTTTTCTAGAAATTGCTACAATCTTCGTTTTGAAACACCTACATAAGAATAATCTTTAGAGCTGGGGATTTAGCTCAGTGGTTTCGTCACCTGCTGCACAAGCTCAAGGACCCGAGTTCAATCCCCGGTACAAAAAAAAAAGAGTAATCTTTAACCAGATTTAATAAACCAATCAACAAACCATTACATAAGCTGGAAAACCCAATTGTTTCAGTGCAAATCGAAAGCCTACAAGAAGCTTGTCCTGTGTGCGAGAGTGCTGAAATGCTGGCTCCCGAGACGGAGACCGCTGGAATTCCTCGCCTGCTGTGGACACCCCAAGCAAGACGAGTCGATGCTTGGGTTCCGTGGGCTCCAGACACAAGGGCCCGAGAGTCCCCGAAGCTGTGGCCAAAGGAAGGTTCAGGTCGCAGCAGTGCTGGCTTTGAGCCCTGTCCCGCCAGGCCGGTCCACTAGCTGCCCGATGCCCTTGGGCACAGCCCCTGAGGGCCCTGGATCTGAAGCCCCTGAAAGGTCAGCTTGACTGTCTCATTTTGGAAGCAAACCCAAAGCCCTGATGCCCTGGTACACTCCACCAAGAGACCTGCAGGCACAGGTTAAAGTCTGACCATCGTGAGTGAGTGTGTGTGTGTGTGTGTGTGTGTGTGTGTGTGTGTCCCCTGCTCGGAGTAACTGAGGCTTTTCTGACGGAGATTCAGCACTGACCCGTCCCTCTCTCTCTCCCCTGCTGACCCCTCTGTGGGAACTCTGCTTCCTGGACCATGGACCGGCCTTGCCTGGGGCTTGGCTCCTGGCCTCTCTGGGGAAACTACTTCACCAGACCCTTCCCCAGGCACCCTGGGTCCTGCTTGCCACCCAGCTCACCTCAACGATGTCGGCCCCAGGGCTCAGGGCCCCGGTCGGTCTTGCCTTCTGCTCTGGGACCAGGCTCCGCGCATGAAGACCCCCGAAGCACCCCCAAGTGGAGCGTACATGTGTGAGGTCTTTAGAGAACATCACTTCAGACCCACAAAGCCTGGCCTCCGCCAACTCCTCCTCAGGACTTTGGCAAGATTCTGCCCCAAACAGAAAGGCCCTCTGGCTGGCAGAACCAGTCCTGGGACCCACAAACCTTTCCCTGCACCCACCCCACAGGCCCCCATGTCCTAGGACTCCAAACCCATGAGGACCCAGCTACTCAGAGAAAGCAGCCCGGCCATAGGTCCCCTGTGACTGTGCCCTCTGCTGCCTGCTCACAGTCCCAAGCACATGCCTGGGCATATGGCTCTGGGCATTTGAAGCTTCCCCGAAGGATGGAGGTCAGGACAGAGACCCGCACCTCCTGGATGTCCTGAGGTCAGGCAAGGGTCTGGACAAAGGAACCGAGCACGGGAGCCTGCCTTTCCCATGGCAGGATGCAGGTCAACCTGGGTACTGCCTGGTCGGCTCCTCAGTCTGCCCAGCTGACTCGGCACTCCAGGTGTCAGGGAAATCAGGTCCCAGCAGGCGGTGACCCAGGGACCAGGGCCCTCCCACCCCAGGCCAGTGGGAGGCCGTCCCTCCTCTCCCCTCCCCTTCCTCCCCGCAGTAACCCCGCAGAGCAGAGCGGCTGGGATCAGAGACCTAGACCAGTAGGGGAGAAGAAGGTTGTAAACAGCAGAGCGGCTCCTCCCACCGCCTGGAGCAACTCCTCCCTCCCAGGCACCTCCTCCAGGAAGCCCTCCAGGAGGCCCCACCACAGCCCACCGCATTTGAGCCGAAGGTGTATCCTGCTCCATCCCCTGAGCCACTGGGGCTCTTGGGGTGTCCTGGGCTCACCTGTGGTTTGCAGACAGAGCATCTCTGGCCAGGGAGGGGCCTGGCACTGGGCTGAGGCTGGGTCTCGCAGCATGGCCAGGCTCGCACTCCTGGCCCTGCTGCTCTCGCTGGCTGGAACCCTGCTCAAGGCCCAGGAGCCCCACGGTAAGTGCTTCCCTTCCACAGGCCCCGCGGGGAGGGTGGAGGGCTGGGCAGGACTTTCCACTGGGTGGGAGCAGCCCCAGCCTGTGGGCGGGCTTGGCAACTGGTCACTGGGGTGTTTTTCTCTTTCTTACCTCTTATCTGAGTCCTTTCTATAATTAGCCGGTGAGCCCTGCAAAGATTTGTGTCTACACAAGATTTGTGCCGCTTGGCCTGGAGCTGTTTCTGGGGCCCTGTGGACAAGCAAGGAAGAGCTCACTTGGTAGGGCCACAGGCTCTGGACATCTGGGAATGGAGGGGAAACTGAGGCAGCCAGCATCTGAAAGAAGCTAAGGGGAGATAGGACAGTGGCCTCTAGCAGGAGAGGAGGATGCTCAGGAGAAGGGACGTGTGGGAGCAGGTGAGGAGTGGTCAGAGCTGCTGGGAGGACGCAGAGCCGGCCTGCCACAACCTCCCCAGGGCTCGGCAGGTAGCCCGGCCCTGGTCCCTCCCCATGGCCCTTGGAACTTGAGCACAGCCACCTGGGCACTGGCAGCAGAGCAGCTCCAAGGCGCCCATGGTTGCCTGGGCCGAGTATCTCTGCCCCTGTCCGCAGGGAGGGCGTCCCCCACCCCTCTGTGTAGCGAGGTGGTGATGGTGGCTCCCCCTCGTGCAGAGGTGCAGCAGTCTCCCCTCCACACGGTCGTGCCGGTGGGGGGCTCCGTGAACATCACCTGCTCCACGAGCGGGCCCCTGAAAGGGCTCTTCTTGGGGCTGAGCTGGCCAAAAAGCATGGATGTGATTTACTACGAGGAAGGGGTGGATAGCACTGTGGACCAGCAGTTCCAGGGCCGCATCAACTTCTCGGGGTCCCAGCACAACCTGACCATCACCGTGAGCCTCCTGCAGCCGGCCGACTCCGGCCTTTACACCTGCCGGGCCGTCAAGAACCACACTGTCGTCGGCCCTGGTACCTTGGTCACAGTCACAGGTAGGGAGCGGCCCCACCCCAGCCCCTGCTGCCAGGCTGGGCCCCCACCAGCCCCAGGGGACCCTCTCTCCTACGTCCCGGAACTGTTCCCACTCCAAGCCAGCCTCCTCCGGGAAGCCTTCTAGATCTCACCCTCTGTCTCCTCCCCAGCCCTTCCCTGCCCTGAACGCTAAAGGCTCAAATGGGGTCTCCCACCACCCGGGAGATGCTCCTCCTGCCAAGGGCCCATCTGTTTCCCTTCCCAGAAAAACTGTGCCAAGAGACACAAGGAGCACACGGACACCAGGAGCCCGGGCTGATGTTCCTCATCCTCCCTTCGGCCCTTGCTGTGGGCTTCTTCCTCCTGGGGCTGGTCCTGGGACTGCTGTATGCCCTGAGGATGAAGGTCAGTGGGCATCGTCCGCAGCACCCACCCACCCAGCTGGAGGGTCTGGGGGAGCGGCATGGGGGCCGCATCCTGTAGGGCATGAAGGTGAAGGGCAGGGCTGGAGATGCCCTGCACAGAGGCGTGGCCAGCGCGGGACAAGAGCAATGCGTGGGTGTCCGTGCGAGCACGCAGGGGATACAAAGGCTGTGTGTGAGCGTGGTGTGCACCCTGTGTTCGTGGGCAGAGGGTCCCTGGGACCTGTGAGCATGCACACAAGTTTGAAGCTCTGCGTGCCCTGACGGGTGGGGGCTGACGTGGCCATGCGGTCAGCTCCACCTCTGGACCTTGGCGGTGTACCTGGGGGCTGGGACAGCAGCCCGGCCCTCACTGCCCCTCAGGGCCCGCCCCGCCTGGTGTCACTGCATTGATGAAAAGCTCCCCAAGTGTGCTGACCAAAGAGGGTGCTCAGAGCCCCTCTCGGGGTCCAGGCCACCTGGCTAGCTACCTCCTGGGTGACTCAAGCTGTCTTTTAGGTCAGGAAGCTGTGTGCCTCCAGGGAGAAGAACCAGCCCTGCGTGGTGTATGAGGACATGTCCTATTGCAGCCGCAACGCCAGCCCCTGCCAGTGAGCCCCTCAGACCCGTGACCCTCCGCACCCCGCCCAGCCTAGCTCACCCAGTGCCCACACTCAGGCAGCTGTGGCAGGGGCTGCACTCCTTGGCGGCCCCAGGTTCCGGGGCCCCTCCTCCAGGAAGCCTTCCAGCAGGCCCAGCCCTTCATGGCCTGATCACAATGCCACCAGCAAGAGAGCTCAGCCGGCCTCCCACAGGCAGCAGGGCCTCTGCTGTCCATGGCCTTAGATGGGCTCAGACGCCCAAGTCCCCAGCCCCAGAGCCTCTTGGCGAAGGGTGCAGGAGGAGGCCCAGCCCCGACTCAGCCCCTGCGGGAAATAAAGTGTTCCTTCTCTTTCCTTTCTAACTTGGCACTGTTACCAACCCAAGCCCCTCCTGGAGCTTCTGCAGCTGGTGTGAGCGTGAGGCCCGGGAGGTCGGAGGAGGGAGGGAGCACATCCTGTCCAGCCCCAGGGACGGCCTGCGGGGAGCAGCTCAGGCCGGGCAAAGGGCAAGGCTGAGGCGCGGCCCCGCCCACGCCAGAAGGCAGCGTTCTCTGGCCCCGCCCCTTAGGTCCCTGGCCAGTCCCTGCCCGCGGAGGCTGACCGCAGGGGGCCTGACCACGGGGCCTTGGAGAGGGCTCTGGTGCAGCCCAAGGACCCCAGAGACAGCGTGCACCTTCCAGCCTCTCCCAGATCCCTCCTCATTCTCGGAGCCCGTGGGTGGGGAAACAGGCACCGCCACTCAGCGGACAAGTGGCAGAGCTGCCCAGGTCCCAACCACCCCTTGTGATGCCTCTGGGACAGCGAGGGGCCTCGGAGGCCCACGGGCACAGCCCTCAGCTGTTCACACTACACCTTGCCTGCCCCCGTCCAGAGTAGTCTGGACACAGCTCGGGGTGGCCTAACACCCACCCCTGCCACACTGAAGGAAACGAACTGATGGGAGGCACCACGGGCCCAGAGCCTTCGTCCCTGCGGCCTCTGCTGGCCGGAGGGGACTGTGTGCAACATGGTACCGCACAGATGACAGTGACCCCACACCAAGAAGCATCCCAGCCCTCAGCAGCCTGCCTGCAGTGGACCCCAGACAGGACCCCGGGCGCCCTAGGGTGCTACGGGGTTGGGGCTCCACGGGGTGGCCAAAGACTCCGTCTCTGGACCCTTCTCTCCTTTTTGGTGCATCCACACCCCAGAGCTGCCCAGAGTCTGCGGGGTCTGTCCAGGCACAGGGCCACATCCTGGGTAAGTGGAGCAGCCAGGCTCCTGTCAGCATCATCGGGCTCCCAGGAAGCCCTGCCCAGCTTCCATCCTTGAATGTCGAATGTGGCTCTGCAACACCACCTTCTGGGCCAGCTTCAGACCTCTCCTACCGCCCAGGCACGGTGCAGCCTAACCAGTTTCCCCAAGCTGCCACCCCCACCTCCCCAGGACAAAGCCAAACTCCTGCGCTGCCCAGCTGCCCACTCCAGCTGGTGGTCACCTGGCAGCAGCCTCCATCACCAGGAGAGAGCACAGCCCGGAAGCCAGCTGCAGACCCAGAAGCCAGCACTGAGACCTGAGCCCACAGTCACGGCTCTGAATGTGACAAAGTGACAAAGAGAAAGCTAATCACATCAGCGGTATGCTAGAAACTTAAAAATCTCTACAAAAACAGAAACAAGGATAGATGACACTGGGACTCAGGGGGCTGAGGCAGGAGGATCACCATACATTCAAGGCCAGCCTGGGCTACATAGTGAAACCCTGTCTCAAAAAAAAAAAAAAAAAAAAAAGGAATAAATGACAGACACCTCCAACACCTGCAAACTCTACAGGAATGTCTGAGAAACAAATTACAAGTTAAGAGCTAATATGGTTAATTTATAAGAAGCATGTCAGTAAGATGAATGCTTGGATACAAAAGATACAAACAAAAAGTGGGCAATAAACAAGGCAACCATTCAAGCTGTCCCTGACCAGTGAAATGCCGACTGCAATGCGATGCCTCCCACCTGCTGGGCTCCCGAGGTAGGCACAGCACTGGGGCATCGTGTACCCCTCACCGAGGAACCCTGCTTCTGGAACGCCTGTGGAGTCATCTTTCACGAGGGAAAGGACTGGGCTGGGCTGTCCAGACGGAGGAGCTGCTGTGCCAATGACAGCACAAGGCGGGGTTAGGGGACAGCAGGGGCAAATGCGCCACCCCACTGGGTGACACAGGCGGAGGGCAGCCACACGGGCTGGCTGCGGAGCACACAGACGGGGACACATTTGTGAAATCGGATACAGGTGGGAGTGTTTGCCTTTTTACATACACCTATGTATTTTTACATCTGCATCCATGAAACAGGGAGTAATAGGCAGGCTATTGACAGCGCTTTTCTCTGGGTGTGAGATGCAGAGCATTACTTTTTTGTGACAATCCTGTGGCAGCCAGGCATGGGGCCAGGGGGGTGGGCAGCCCAGGGACCTGGTCTCCCCATTCCCACAGGGCCTTGAGGACAAAATCTCCCACCTGCTCCTCTTCCTCCTCCTCCCTGAGTGTGCCCAGCAGCACCTTCCTGTCTCAGCCCCCTCACCAGCAGCCCTGTGACTTCTGCAGTGCCCACCTGCAGCTGGTGGTCTCTCTGCACCTGGTGCCCTGCCCTTGGCATCTGGAGGCCACCACCCTCTGCAAAGTTGTCCCTGCCACTGAAGTGCCCACATCTGGAGAGGCCCTGGGCCTTGGGCCAGCAGCAGTGGGCCTGGCTGGCTCCTGGTGGCTCCCTTCTGTCCAGGGCCGCCAGTGTGATCCAAAGAGTGAGTGGAGCCAGGCGAAGGGACACAGATGGGACCCTGGGGGAGCACAGCTGGAAACACAGGTATGGGGCCCTGGGAGGGCGGGGCACCACTGGGTACACAGGCGTGGTACCCTGCGTGGGCCCTGGGCAAAGCTGGGGACACAAGTGTAGGGGCCCTTGGCACGGGCACCGCGGACATTTCTGGGCTCTCAGTCTCGAGCACTTTACCCAACAGGTCCTGAAAAACACATCACCTTCAGAATGTAATCTGCACATCTCCCCTTAAAGCAAAAACTAACTGGGAAGCTGGACACAGTGGCCCACACCTGTGATTCCAGGGATTCTGGAGGCTGAGGCAAGAAGATTGCAAGTCTGAGTGACTTAGCAAGACCCTGTCTCAAAATTTAAGAAAAGAAAAAAGGGCTGGAGATGTAGCTCGGGACCAGAGCGCCAGTCCAGCAAGCACGAGACCCTTGGTTCAAGATCCAGAGCTGCAGAAAAAACCCTGCTGCTGCATGGACACATCGAGCCCCTGGGCAGAGCAGGAGTCCCACCCTGTGGGCAGCCACATGTGCTCAGGGCAGAGGGGAGGTGGCGGAGACAGGGCCAGAGGCTGTTCCCATGTCCCACCCTCCCAGAGCCTCCCTGGAGGAAACAGGCCACCTGCAGCTGGACTCGGCCATGGGCAAAGCCAGGTGTACAGCAGGTGTCCATCAGGTGCCTGCGGACTGCTGGTCCCCTCTTGGCCACTCAGTGAAGGACTTGGACAAGCACTGCCCCTCGGACCTCGCTCTCTGAATCAGGTGGGTGGGAGCTCGGCCCCAGTGGGTGCTGGGCTCTGGTGTCCAGGCTGAGCTGCAGCCCTGCCCACCTGCCCCAGATCGGCATTCCCACCAAAGGGGAGCCACCCTCCTTCCCTCCCATCTCTGAGGCAACTTCCGGAGAGATAAGCAGGCAGCACCCAGGGTGTGTTTCAGAGCCCCGTCTCTGAAGCATTGCTCTGGCTGACCCACCCCGTGACCACTAGACCTTGTGGTCCTCGTCCTGACACCTTGCCACACACCCTCATGACCCACACAGTCCTCCCTCCGGGCTCAGGCTTTCAGACCTGGAGAGACAGAGGTCGGTGTCAGCCCGAGGCAGCCCAGTGTGGTGGGAAGCTGCAGAAACACACCCTGTGGGACTCTCACCCATCCCTCAACCCCTCCGTAATGCTAAGCTCTCCACAGGAGGCTCAGCCAAGGGGCAGCAGCCAACAGGGAGGGGTTGGCAAGGTGGGGAGGACTTCGAGTGCCAGGACTTTGCCTTGCCCTGCTCCAGGTGTGTGGCCCAATCTCAAGCCCTGGACCAAACCCCAAGGCCCATGGTTCCAACTGGCATTTTGAGGAGGGCACTCTGTCCAGGAAAGGGACAGCCACACGGAGCATCACGCCCACCTCACGGAGCACAGGCAGAAGCAGCCAGCACATCAGCATGATGACATCTTCACAGGACAGGAAGTTGGCAAATATGTGATCAGAACATAGCCGTGGAGACACTGTGGCTGAACAAGAAGCGGGCAGCAGGAAGGTCGTGCTGAGGAGGGGCCAATCCCACGGGGCGGGGGGTCCTGAAGAAGATAAAAAGACAAACCTGAGACACACAGATAAAACATTTCCACCAGAGGGAGGAGAAAGGCAGAGGATGCTGTAGATCCTCCAGAGTTGGAGAGAAGATGCCCTGGAGTGGAAGGGGCCTGAGAGGACCAGGACGAGGGGAAGCCTCACCGGAACATGTCCTCAGGACTAGGAGAGCACCACGCCAAGAGGGAGCTCTAAGCTCAGCGGGGCTCCTCGAGGACCACTCTGAATTCAAGCAGACAGTAGAAAATGTCACCTGCATTACTGAAAGAAAAGAACCTCATTCCTGGGCTGTTGACGCTAACTAAATCACAAAACCTAACCACACTGGCATCTAAGATCTTAGACACCAGCATGAGCCACTTTGAGGTGACTTTTTTTTTTTTCGGTAGTACTTTGCACTGAGCTACTGGGCCCTTTTCAAAATGTTTAACTTTGAGTCAGAATCTCACTCAGTCACTACATTGCCCAGGCTGGGCTCAGACTTGTAATTCTCTTGCCTCAGGCTCCCAAAGTGCTGGGAGTACAGGCAGGTGCCACTGCACTCAGCCTGAAATCACTCTTGGAAGCCACATTCAAGTTGGAGACTCAAACACAGACCTTTACAAGAGAAATAAGCAATTAGATCAAGTTTATCTTTGTAAAAAAAAAAGGCTAAAGAAAATAAGCACACAACTTACATAGCAATTTAGAATACAATTCTAGATTATGTCAAGACAAGGGGGAGGGGTGGGTGGGAAAGAAGGAAGTGCGGATGTGCTGAGACATTTCTGGAGTTTGAAGATAGGTTATGCAATCACTCTGGGGAAAAAAGAAAAGAAAAGAAAAAACCACACTGGGCAAAGAAGCAAGTATGAAGCATGAAAAGCACAGATGATCACAGCAAGAGCCTGACAGAAATACATCGTTTTTAAAACCAGCAGAAGTATCTATTGCATGGAAACAGAAAAGGAAAACAAAACAAGTGTGAAGAATGCATAGTGAGTGGAAAATATGAAATACTGTAAAATTACAAAATAATGCTCTCATTCATCAATAAGTAACAAGTCCCAGTAACAGTAATTTATAATTGCAATAATTATAACAAAATTACAATAAATGCTTTTATAGTAAATGTAAATGGGCTAACTTTGCTAATTGAAAGAAAAAAATCCAACAGAATATGGTCTATAAGAAACACACTTTAAACATCAATAGATCGGAAATAAAAGGATGAAAACATAGAATAGGGAGACATGAACCAGAAGCTTGAGTTTTCTGTAGATTCTTGTTTTCTTTTTTTTATCCCATTGTGTTTCCTTTTCTTGTTTTGTTTTATTTGGTACCAGGGATCAAATGTGGGTCCTTGCACTTGCGAGGCAGGCGGCGGAACCACTGAGCTAAATCCCTGGCCCTCTTTTCTTGTTTGTTTTTTTTTTCAGTGCTAGTGATTGAACCCAGAGCCTTGCACGTATTAGGTAAGCACTCTACTGATGAGCTACATTCCCAGTCTATCATCCTGTTTTCTGACAAAATAGAACAAGATGCAACAAATGTGAACACTTGTGAATCTGAAAACAAAGAGGCAAAATATGTAAAGCCAGGAATGATATAACTGTAGACAAAAATAAATAAATCAACAGCTTAAACTGAGGTCCTGACAGCCCCTTCAGATCCACATCCCATATCCAGTCAACAAGGAATTTTACACTCAGCTCATGGAGCAGACACCATCATCGATGTACAGGAAATTTTTAAAGTGATAATTTGCTGTCATTAGGTCCTGAGAGAGAATGAGGAACAAGATGAGACTTACAGGCCCAGGGCTGTTCCTGTGACTTATTCTTACACACGCACATAAAAGGTCACAGCTCAAGAATGTGCTTGTTATTTTCTGAGATTATTGGGGTTTTTTTGTTTTTTGTTTTTTTGGGACAGGGTCTTGCTATATAGTTCAACCTGGCCTTGAACTTACTATGTAGCCCAGGCTGGCCTCAAATTTGCATCAATCTTCTTGCCTCAGCCTCCCAAGTACTGGATTTGCAAGCATGTGCCACCATGCCTGGCTCCTGAGAGCATCGCTGAATGTCAGTTGTGTGTGTGTGTGTGTGTGCGCGCGCGTGCGTGTGTGTGTTTTATTTTGAATGAAATTGAGGAGAGACTTCTGGGAAGATGGAGGAGTGGTGAACAACAGGGAGACAGCCTCTCCAAGATTTGGTGTTGGAATATAGCAACATGAGGAAGAGAATGAGGAGGGGAATGGGCCCCTGGGACCTAGCAAGAATATGAAGGGAGAATTGAAGCCTATGGGGAGAGCAAAGAGAGAGAAGAGGGAGGCAGCAAGTGGTACTTTCTCCCCGAGCCCAGACTCACAGTGTGGGAAGGGCACTTCAAACCTTCAGACACACAGTGACT